GAGTCTAAATCGAGTCATGAGTCTCTGAGGAGTAAGTCCAAGTTGAGACTGTGGTACAAGTCTGAGTCGAGTCTCTGAAATGTAAGTCCAAGTTAAGACTCAAGCCTCTAAGCTGTGAGTCGAGTCTTGAGTCTCTGAGATGTGAGTCCGAGTTGAGACTTGAGTCTCTGAGGTGTGAGTCCAAATTAAGTCTCGAGTCTCTGAAGTGTGAGTCCAAGTTGAGACTCTGCTGTGCGAGTCTGAGTTGAGTCTCTGAGGTGTGAGCCCAAGTCGAGTCTTGAGGCTCTGAAGTGTGAGTTGAGACTCTGTGATGTGTGTCCTAATCGAGTCTCTGAGGTGGAAGTCTGAGTCGAGTCTCGAATATCTAAGGCACAAATACAGTTAATCTAGATATTGATAAATATCAGGTCAGTATCCAAACAGTATGTCAAACTTCCATCAAAATATTGGATCAGCAATCTTGGTTTTAAATTTCCAATTCATGTGACATTAGGAATGTTATCAACATGACAAAATTCAGTGTCTGTATTGGAAATGTGGTTTGCGCATTAGAACTGGAACATACATCTCCTTAATACACTCTTAGTGTCTCCTTTGGACTCTTGAGCCAGAAACTGAGTCTTTCTCTTTGGAGTTAAAGGGGTCACTGAAAGGGCAGCTGCTGAATGAGTTTGAATAAGTACACAGCCACTAGTCTTCATGAGCAAGTGTTACAGTGTGAGCTTTTGTTATTCTGTGAGCTTAATGACACGGTAAAGATAAAGCTATGACTTTGGGCACTGAGAGTTACATAATCCATGTGAATGCATCATTGTCAAACGCCTCCAAGAGAAGAAGCTAAACAAATCTGTCAGAAATCAGCATGAAGCCTAACCTTAGACCAATAAAATCACTCAGTGTCACTCGGGCAGCCTTCAGCTGTTCGCCGGTGGAGAGTTAGAGTGAAGTCTTCTTTTCACCTTTTGTTGCCAACAGTGTGCATGCAGGATTAGAAAACCCCAAAAACAGTTTTATTTACTTAGTTTACCTTCTTATCTTGAATGAAATCCATCACCTAAAGCATGTTTGGTGTGTGATATTTGCTGGATCTACAAAGCTAATTTAGCTATCAATAAAAAAAAAAATCCCCCAAAAATACAAAAAAACACATGACAAATGTTTTGTGCTCAAAAACAACCCCTTTATCCAAATCCAAATGTATCACACACGAAGAGAAGAGTGATGATATAAAGTCTAGTCCAGTGGTTGGCAACCCAAATATTAAGAAGAGCCATTTTGTCGTCTCACCAAAAAACAATCTGCCTAGAATCCAATTTATTGAAGTAACATTTTATCATCTTGGCTGAAAATATGTCTTAATATGTGCTAGTTAATGTCCTAGTATAGATTAAAAAATATAAACGGAAACGGTTTTTACAAGGCTGAAGTCACTTCTCGTTTGCCAGCTTCTTGTTTGAATTTGGTGGAACGGGAAAATTCAAACAAGAAGCTAGTGAATGTGAAGCTGACTTCAGCCTCGTGACTTTTCAGTATTTGTCAGTTTCTCATTGCAGATTAAATGTGTTATAAATGCAAATACATCCACTTGTCTCCAAATTATCGATGTTCGTCTTAAATCTTTCTCTTTGCTGTTTCATTAGCTACTAGCTAGACAAGATTGTTGTCTGCATTGGTAGTATGCCGCAGTCTGCGCACCAACCTTCAGGGTTAAAGGGTGAATTAGCAGTTCTACATTAACTCCAGCATTTAAGACCATTTATTGTTAAACCTGTGTTAGACCGATCAGCAGATCTTTATTTTACTGCAGAGGAGGATTATTTTATTTTTACCTAAAAATCTAGTTCTGCTGTGGAGCCATAAGAGCCACATGCCAAAGTTTGATTGGTTAACTAGTGAGGTTAAAATAGAAATTAAATGTACTGTATATATTGATGTTAAATAATCTGTTTTAAAACATATATATGTTTTACACATGCTGTTATTTGCAACTATTAAGAGTAATTGCAATAAATTAAAAAGGTATTCATGGCCACGCATGCGTAGACCTTGTGAGCAAGTTTTTACCTTAATTTATCAACCTATCTCTTTCTCTCTCTCTCTCTCTCTCTCTCTCTCTCTCTCTCTCTCTCTCTCTCTCCTTCATCTTAGTAAATGCTAAAGACCTATGTTAGAATCTTCTATCTCTTCATGTCTTCATGCTGGAACCTATCCCAGCTGTCACTGGGCAGAAGGCAGGATAAACCCTGGACAAGTTGTCTTAATATGAATGAATATTATTTCTTTTTTTTCAAATTTTATCGTTCAAGAGATCTGAGCTTTTCGGATTGCAGTTTTTTTTTAGAAATTTCAATACAGCGCCACCATCTGGTCATGGCTATAATGAACAATTCCACATTTTTACATGATGACACAACAGTGTAAAGAGACAGGTAAAGAAAAGGCAATAAAGTGATAATCTAGATCATGGAGATAAGGTTTGAGACACCTACAGGAGCTTTTATGAATCCCATTCGAAATCCATAGGCATTCATATGGAGTTGGTCCCCCTTTGCAGATATAACAGCTTCCACTCTTCTGGGAAGCTTTCTACAAGATTTTGGAGTGTGTCTGTGAGAATTTTTGGCCATTCATCCAGAAAAGCATTTGTAAGGTCAGACACTCATGTTGGATAAGAGAGCCTGGCTCACAATCCCCATTCTAATTCATCCCAAAGGTGTTTGATCGAGTTGAGGTCAAGGCTCTGTGCAGGCCAGTTAAGTTCTTCCATACCAACCAACCTCACCCAGCCATGCCTTTATGGACCTTGTTTTGTGCACTGGGGCTCAGTCATGCTGGAACAGAAAAGGGTCTTCCCCAAATTGTTCCCTTAAAGCTGGAAGCATAGAATTGTCCAAAATGTCTTGGTCTGCTGAAGCATTAAGTTTTCCTCTCACTGGAACTAAGGGGCCTAGACCAACCCCTGAGAACCAACCCCATAGCATTATCCCTCCTCCACCAAGCTTTACAGTTGGCACAATGCAGTCAGGCAGGTAACGTTCTCCTGGCTTTCGCCAAACCCAGACTCATCCATCAGACTGGCAGATAGAAAAGTGTGATTTATCTCTCCACAGAATGCGTTTCCACTGCTCCAAAGTGCTTTACACCACTCCATCTGCCACTTGGTTTCGTGCTTGGTAATGTAAGGCTTGCATAAAGCTGCTCAACCATGGAAACTCATGCCATGAAGCTCCCAGTACACAGTTTTCTTAGTTTTCTTTGAGATTACATTACTTCTTACCTCCTAGAAAAGGTAATCTCACTACTCATTACTTTACTTCAATGTTACAACATACCAAATTATTTCACTGTGCTGGCAGATCAGTTTGCTTGTTTGAAGCATATTTCTTGGCTCTTCATAGGTTATTTAGTGAAGAAAATGTTTCTATATAGAACAGTGAACACTCAAAGAACCTTTTGCACAGTTAATGAAAGGTTCTTCAGATTAATGGAGAATGTGCTGCAGATGGTGCTCCGTATAGCACCAAAAAGGTTTCTTCTTCACCATGCAAAGAACCCTTTAATCGTGCAAAGGGTTCATTGAGTGTTCATGATTCTATTTAGAACCAGTTTCTTCACTATTAAAATACTTTTAATAGTGTATATTGCCAAAAAATGTAGGTGATTAATGTGTTGAAAGTAATGCGACAAGCTTGTAACAGTGGCAGAACCCTTTTTGGTGCTATATAGAACCTTATGCAACACATTTTCCATCAATCTGAAGATCCATTTCACCATGCCCAAATGGTGCATATAGAACATTTTTTTAATTAAAGAACCCTTGAAGAACCATCATTTTGAAGTGTGTAGTGTAGCTTAAAACTCAGCTACCTTAAAATTGTGCATCTAGGGGGCGACATTCCTGTATTTGCCCAGTGCTGCAGAATTACTAAATCTGCCCTGACCGCTTCATATCATCATACTGCAGTATCGGCCTAACACAAGAACAAGTACCTGCGGTACTAGATCGGCCTGATGCCAAGCGCAACTGATGTTATCAATGCAGCCCTAGTTCTGCAGTGAAGCTGATGGTGAAACGTAGCTGATTAGGTTCTCTAATGCTGGTATCAGAGTCCACTTACAGTTTTACTTCAAACACAACTCTGTGGATGTGGCAACCAGCATGGTAGAGTTCTCTGACACGCGCCACTGAGAATGACTCACTGAGAAACAACCCTTCACCAACTTTGAAGATGGCAGATAAGTGTGTGTGTGTGTGTGTGTGTCAGAGCAAATCACAAACACTCTAATGACTCCAAAAACAGTGTTTGCTTTTGTATGTGTGCCAGCATAAGCAGTATTTGCATATTGGCAGAAGTGCAGTTACTCATGTACAACTATACAGATGAATTACGGCGTCTCTGATGAGTCATAATGCTTTAGGGAACAGTTTCAGTAGAACTACAGCAACACAAACACAGCATAGAGTGATTTCACTACTAAAACTTTTACTTTCTGTAATACACAAACACACAATTAACAAGATTAGATGCATTTAATTAAGTTCATGAACAACGTATATTTAATGACTTGGCCTATTCCTCTTGGCAAACCATGCTCAATTTCCCCCTGAGGTTACGAGGGTCCCAGAGTTACACTAACAATTTCAAATTTTCAATGGGATTCATGTCAGAAGATGGACCCATGCGAGCACCTTTACCTTCTTTTAGACACCAACCTTCAGTTATTTTGGCTGTATGTTTGGCGTCATTGTCATTAAAATGCTCAGATTCTTGGCTGATGAGATTAAATTCTCCTCTAATATCTCCTGATACATCATTCCATTCATGTTTTCTTCGACGGCATGTGATGATCCAGTATTGTTTGTAAAGAAGCAGCTTCAACCTAAAGAGAAACTGTAGAACAGACTCACTTTATATCACAATATCTACATTTATATGATTGTATTAATGTTTTCAATCTTTCCCTCTCTTTCTTTCTCGCCCTCTGTTTTTGACGCCCAGCTGGGCCAGATCATTCTCAGAAAGGTTTTGACATGGAGGCAGCCTCAGTAAAGCTGAGAGAGAGAGAGCGATTTTTTGAGGAAGTTCTCCAGCATGATGTGGACATCTACTTGTCTGCTAATCATCTTCATATCAACAGCAGGAAACGTCAGTAGCAATTATTGATTTTGCTTTATTCTTTTGTTTATTAGGTCATTAGTGACCTGTTCAACACAGACACACACACACAGGTGGCATTTCACTGTTAAAATCAGCTGATATTAAGGTTTCATAGATTTGTCAGCATCAATATGGTGAATGTAATTCCTTGCAGTTAAGTGCTGGATTAGAATTACTGATGGAGGTTTGTTAATGTAAATTGTTAGGGATTTGATTGTCCAATTTTTACAGGATTAAGTATCTTTGTAGTTTTCCCCAAATTACAAAAGATAGTCTAGATCGAAATGTCATGGGCTAGATGTTTACATCAGCATTTAGATTAAAACAAGGCCAAACGAGCAACAAAAAAAACAGTTTAAAACAAAACTCATATCTTTATAGCTGCACTCAAACCATTTATACACACAGGAGCACTGTTACATGTAGCTAGCTGACATTTTCAGAGGCTCCCCAAAAAGTTTCACACAGAGGTAGAGCATAGTGCTCCTATAACTTACTCTTTAATTTGATGAAAAGACTGAAGGTCCACCTCTTTCATGATTCAATTAAATGTTAGATGAGGACTCTTGGTAGTCTTCACTAATGTGATTTAACATTAGTAAATCTTTTCAGGATCAATATGAAGATTATAGTTTTGAATCAACATTAGTTAATCTATCCAGGATCAACATGAAGAAGATGGTCCTGATTCAACATTAGTTAATCTATCCAGGATCAACATGAAGAAGATGGTCCTGATTCAACATTAGTTAATCTATCCAGGATCAACATGAAGATGACAGTCCTGATTTAACATTAGTAAATCTATCCAGGATCAACATGAAGATAATGGTCTTGAATCAACTTTAGTAAATCTATCCAGGATCAAAATGAAGATGATGGTCCTGAATTAGCATTATTAAATCTATCCAGGATCAATATGAAGATGATGGTCCTGATTCAGCATTAGTTAGTCTATCCAGGATCAGCATGAAGATGATGGTCTTGAATCACCTTCAGTAAAATCTTTCCAGGATCAACATGAAGATAATGCTCTTGAATCACCTTTAGTAAAAATCGATCCAGGGTCAACATGAAGATAAAGGCCTTGAATCACCTTTAGTAAAAATCTATCCAGGATCCACATGAAAATGATGGTCTTGGAACAACTTTAGTAAAATCTACCCAGGATCAACATGAAGACAATTGTCCTGAATCAACATTAGTAAATCTATCTAGGATCAACATGAAGATGATGGTCCTGATTCAACATTAGTAAATCTATGCAGGATCCACATGAAGATGATGATCCTGATTCAGAATGAGATAATCTATCCAGGATCAACATGAAAATGATGGTCTTGGAACAACTTTAGTAAAAATCTATCCAGGATCAACATGAAGATGATGGTCTTGAATCAACATTAATAAATTTATCCAGGATCAACATGAAGATGATAGTCTTGAATAACATCAGTAAATTTATCCAGGGTCATGATGATAATAATATCCCTGTATCAATGGAATCAACATTTCAAAAAAGGCTATACAGCACAGAAATTTTATAATATAAATCTTATAGAAGAAAATTACATTCTGGAAGGAGATACTTTTTGAACAACAGCCAAATGTTGGCTGTAAATGCATATAATTTATGAATTTATAGGTTACTGCTATATTATTCAAATTATTTTGAAATATTTTAGAATTTTTACCTTCTTGAAATCAGTATCAGTGATTGACTTTTCACATCAATCAGTTCATATGTATAAAAATGTATACTTTTACCCAGGATTTCCATTTTTATGAAAGCATTTCCACACTAAAATAGTGTTTTGGGTTTTTTTAGCGTTTTGATAATTTTTCATGTAATAAATGGTAAATGATCAGCTCTCAATGCTTTGGATTAAACATGTTTTTCTCTTGTAGCTCCCATGGAAAGCATCTCATCATTGGAGGTTAATGTGGACATCCTGGAGCATATAGACCTTATGGAGATCTCTGACCACGAGGCTCTGGATGTCTTCCTAAACTCTGGCAATGATAATAGTGTTCTCACAACTACTCTACAGGGTTAGTGTGAAACCACACTCGGTTCACTACATAGTTCACTATACCGTCCCAAACTGTGCTGTATTCATTACATACACTCTTGAAAAAGGTAGTTCTTCAAAGGTTCTTTAGTAAAAGCAATAATCTATTTACAACTATGAGTTCCATATAGAACCTTTTGCATGCTGAAATAGTCCTTTGCATTGTGAAATCGTTCTTCAGACTGATGGAATGTGTGCATATGGTTCTATATAGCACCAAAAATGGTTCTTGTATTGTTACAAGCTTAATATCATACAGTAAAGACAATGGTTCTAGATAGAACCATGAACATTCAAAGAACTCTTTGCATGATTAAATGCTTCTTTGCATCATGAAGAGTTCTTCAGATTGGTAGAAATTGTGCATGAATGTGCTATAGATGGTTCTATATAGGACTTTTTTGAAAAAGGTTCTTCTATTGTTACAAACTTGACATCATAACAGTAGAAGAACCCTTTTGGGTGCTATATAGAACCATTTTCTTTACTAAGGAACCCTTGAAAGATCATCTTTTTTAAGAGTGTAACTATAGCAGAGCTCTTTTTGGTGTAATATAGAACCATTTTCAAAAAGGTTCTATATGGAACTGTACACAACACAGTCTCCATCAGTCTGAAGAACTAATTCACCATGTAAAGAAACTTGCAAGCATACAAATTGTTCTATGTAGACCTCCTGGACCTAAATAGAACCATTGTCTTCATTAAAGAAACTTTGAAGAACTATCTTTTTTAAGAGTATTGTGGTTCTATAGAATCAGCAATTATTGCTCTTTTTGACTATTTAATTATTGTGTTAAATATTTTAGAACAGGGCGGCACAGTGGCGTGGTGTATAGCGCTGTTGCCTCACAGCAAGAATTGCCGGGGTTCGATTCCCAGCCGGGCGACCGGGGTCATCTCTGTGTCGAGTTTGCATGTTCTCCCCGTGTCTGCATGGGTTTCCTCTGGGTTCTCCGGTTTTCTTCCCACAGTCCAAAAAAAAAAAAACATGCAGTCAGGCCAATTGGACATGCTAAATTGCCCCTAAGTGTGTGTGTGAATATGTGTGTCTGTCTGTCTGCCCTGCGATGGACTGGTGACCTGTCCAGGGTGCATCCTGCCTTCTGCCCAATGACAGCTGGGATGGGCTCCAGCACCCCACTGTGACCCAGAAGGATAAGTGGTTTAGATGGTGTGTGTGTGTGTGTTAGAACATAGAAATATTTTAGTGCATAAAATTATATTTACACTTCATTTACATTCTTTACGGAGAGTTTGGAGTCTGTGGTTGTGTATGATTCTGTGTGTGATAGTGACTTCTAAAATAAAAAAATTCACAGTTAACTTTTAGATCAGAATGTATTTACAGTTATGAAAAACATTCAGCATATTCAGTAGGGTGCGTCCAAACTTGTGAAACTGTCTCACACAAAGCACAACTGGCTGTCAGTGACTCATATTTCTTATGTGTAAGGGAGACAGCATGCCACAGGGTTACAAATGATTACCGACACTCATCTCTGGTATTTGTCTAATGACAGCACATCATTAAGTGTTTTACAAGCTGGAGAAGGAAAGTAAAACGCCTTAGAACATGAGAATGACACAGCAGTTAATTATGGCTCATTACAGCCCTAGTAACTCTGGTTTAGCTAGACTTTATGTATGACTAGCTAGACTAGCTAGTATGTTTGGGCAGGTTAATCTTAAAGTATCTGTACTTCTGATTATAACACTTACTTTTAAGAGTCAGTCATTTCTTATATATATATATATATATATATATATTTTTTTTTCCCATTTATAGCTTTCAAAAGTAAGTACAGCTGCTATTAGTAGTATTAATCCCACTGCTGTGACACTGACGTGGTGGTGACGTGTTAGTGTGTGTTGTGCTGGTGTAAGTGGATCACACACAGCAGTGCTGCTGAAGTTTTTAAACACTGTGTCCGCTCACTGTCCACTCTATTAGACTTTCCTACCTTGTTGGTCCACCTTGTAGATGTAAAGTCAGAGACGATAGCTCATCTGCTGCCGCACAGTTTGTGTTAGTCATCCTCTAGTCCTCCATCAGTGGTCACAGGACGCTGCCCACGGGACACTGTTGGTTGGATGTTTTTGGTTCTCAGTCCAGCAGTGACACTGCTGTGTTTAAAAACTTCAGCAGCACTGCTGTGTCTGATCCACTCACACCAGCGCAACACACACTAACACCACACCAGTGTCACTGCAGTGCTGAGAATGATCCATCGCCCAAATAATACCTGCTCTGTATATAGGGGTTCTGACCATTGAAGAACAAGGTAACCAAGTATGCAAACAGATGGACTAGAGTCTGTAATTGCAGATCTACAAAGTCCTCCTATATGGTCAGTGGACCTGATAAAGACGACAATGAGTGTTGATACAAGGAAGTGGTTTTAATGTTTTTGTTCTGGTTTATATCAATCTATATGGAACCTTTTTGAAAAGAGTTCTATATAGCACCTATTTTTACAGGCTTGACAGAAGAACCCTTTTTGGTGCTATTTAGAACCTCTTTTCAAAAAGGTTCTATATAGAACCATTCTCCATCAATCTGAACAACAATTTTGCCATGCGAAGAACCATTTAATCATGCAAAAGGTTTTTTTAGTGTTCATGGTTCTGTATAGAAGAACCTTTTTGGTACTGTGTAGAACCCTTTTCAACTGGGGGGGGGGCACCACATGATAATTCTGATGGTAAATGGAAAAACTGGGTCAAACAAGACAAATGCAATTAATTGCAACTACACATAATACAGCTAATTATGATTCATTATTTTAATTGTTTGGCAGCTCTAATGAAATACTGAAATATATTCAATTACAATCATCTTGCCTTAAAACTATATCAAGTTCACAATGTACCTCAGTTGTGTAATTGAGTTGGGTTTAAACTGCAGGTGTACTTTAAACGTAAGCAGCTGAGATTAGGAGCCCACACACACTTATACATTCTACTGTGATTGACATTGTCGCAATAACAGCAGAACCCTTTTTGGTGCTTTATAGAACCATTTACAACACATTCTCCATCAGTGTGAGAACTATTTTAGCATGCAGATAACCATTTAAGCATGAAAATGGGTCTTTTAGTGTTTATGGTTCTATATAGAACCACTGTCTTCACTAAAGGACCCTTGAAGAACCATCTTTTTTAAGAGTGTAGTAAACAGTAAACTGTGGCTTATTAAATAACCCGTAATCACCTCCACATCCTCCCTCTAGATGCTTTGGAGGTAAAACAGAAATAGATTTTGTTAAGACCCCCCCTTCCCCCCAACACAACATCTACAAAGATTTCATCACCATGTCACAACAAATAAAATTCCAAGAAACTCAAATTCACAGAAATGAAACTGAAGGTCTAAGTGTCATATTCCCTTGACATGATTTGGACTTTGGAAAATAACTTGTTTTGAATATGCATCTGTTGAAATAATAAAACATAAAACCATCGACATCTCAGCAGTTAAATTGGGTCAGGGAAGTGTTCAGGGTAAAGTTACTTTTGCAAGGGGACTGAGTGTCTATCTGGATTCTATTGTAGTGGAGAGTAAATGATATGAAACTTCCACTTTTTTGATGCTTTTACATATAATGCAATTGCCTGAAAACAAGGTCACTCCCTAAGCGAAATTCCACCAAAATTTCCATATTTCTGCAGAATTAAATGGTAAAAATGTACAACCCCATTTCCAAAAAAGTTGAGACGCTATGTAAAATGTAAATAAAAAACAAAATGCAACGTAAAGACAACATATCAAATGTTGAAATTGAGACATTTTATTGTTTATTGAAAAATGTATGTCCATTTTGAATTTGATGCTAATAACACGTTCCAAAAAAATTGGGACGGGAGCAACAAAAGGCTGGTAAAGTTGTGCAATGCTTAAAAAACACTTAATTGGCAACAGGTCAGTAACATAATTGGGTATAAAAAAAGCATCTCAGAGAGGCTGAGTCTTTCAGAAGTTTAACTGCATTAAACACAGACATTATTCTGTAGTGGAAATCACTGCATGGGCTCAGAAACACTTCTGAAAACCACTGTCTGTGAAAACAGTTTGTTGCTGCATCCACAAATGCAAGTTAAAACTCTAAAACACAAAGAAGAAAGCATATATAAACAGGATCCAGAAATGCGGCTGCCTTCTCTGGGCCTGAGCTCATTTAAAATGAACTGAGGAGAAGTGGAAAAGTGCCCAGTGGTCCAACAAATCAACATTTGAATTTCTTTTTAAGAAATCATGGACACTGTGTCCTGTGGGCTAAAGACCACTCAACTTGTTATCAGTTTACAGTTCAAAAGACAGTATTCATGATGGTATAGGGGAGCATTAGTGCACATGGTATGTGTGACATGCACATCTGTGAAGGTACCATTAATGCTGAACGATATATACATGTTTTGGCAACATATGCTGCCATTCAGACGACGTCTTTTTCAGTGAAGGCCTTGATTATTTCCACAAGACAATGCAAAACCACATTCTGCATGCATTACAACAGCATGGCTGTGGAGTAAAAGCATCCAGGTGCCTGCAGTCCAGTCCTGTCACCCACTGATAACATGTGGCACATTATGAAATGAAAAATACCATAAATGAGACCCCAAACTGAGGAGCAGCTGAAATCAAACAAGAAGGGGAAAATATTTATCTTTCAAAACTACAGCAGTTGGTCTCCTCAGTTCCCAAACGCTTGCAGTGTAGTGGCATCAAATTCACAGTGGACATATATTTTTCAAAAAACAATACAATTTCTCAGTTTCAACATTTGATATGTTGTCTTTGTAGTATTTTTCTTTAAAAATATGGTTTACATTATTTACACATCATTGCATTTTGTTTTTAAATAAATTCTGCAGAGCGTCCCAAATTTTTTGGAAATGGGCTTATAAACAGAGTCATTCAGAGTGGTTTGGTGTGAAATGCTCTGCTCTAGAGCAACTTACCGAGTCAGAATTGCTCACAGTGGTGGTGATAGGAACCAGACATCCACCTCAAAAATCTCCCTCACGGAAAGTTATTACATGAAATAGTTATGAATACACTGACTGAGGACTGAAACACTGTTTTACGATAGTTTTGAGAAGATTTTGGCCTCAAGCTCCATTCATGGTGGAGGGATACATAATATTCAAATATAGTCCCCAAAGAAAACTTATTATTTCAAATTTTCCACTATTTTCCCACTATCAACATTCCATATAAAACTCAGAAGACACGTATAGGTTCACTGGTGGTTTTGGACAGTAAATAAAATGTCTATATTTGTGTTGTAGTCATGGCAAACCCTGGTTCCTATCACCACCACTGTAAAGAAATCTGAACCATTTCACACCAAACCAAGCAGACCACTTTGAATTACTGTTTACATCTCAAACACTCAATAAAGCTTAAAAAATCCTCTTTAAGAAGCTCCAAACCGACTGATAAAGATGGACAAAAGCAAATGGATATGATAGTTAGTTAGTAGGTCAAAACCCCCTACATAGGTTTGGACACACCTACAAACACAATGTGGTTCTTAATAAGGAAAATGATAATGAAAACCTTAAAATAACACCTATAGAATTTTGAAATGACCAAAAAAGTGTGGCCACCTAGTCTGCTTCCCCACCAGCTTTAGGAAGTTCAATATATTGATGCTGTTATAACAAAAACAAGAAACAATTTTTTAATTTATAAAATTTATGTTTTATTTCCAAATAGGGCATATATAAGAAGGGATATAGATATATGAGGTTCATACATGAAATGAACCTTTTTAGCCAACTGTGTCTGAACACATGAGAATTAGACCTCTTTTAACCCTTCCGTGCAGTGAAACAACACACACACACACAGCACCCAGGGAGCAGTTGGGGGTTAGGTGCCTTGTTCAAGGGCACTTCAATCACATACTGTCAGCTGAGAGGATCAAACCAGCAACCTTCCAGTCACAAGGCTGGTTCCCTAACCTCCAGCCCACGACTGCCCATAGGCATCACCTTCACTATTATATTTGTCTTAGAAACAATTTACAGATTTCACTTTTTTACAATAGAAATTCTTCAATATAAAAAAATGCATGGATTTAAAACGAGTTGTTTTGTCAGTCTGGGTTCTTATTCATCATCATTCGAAAGTAAACAGATTGTCAGGAGGCTTCTGACTCTTTTTTTCAGAGGAAGACAATGAAGAGTTGGAAGATGATGACGATGGTGAGGTGGTTTTCAGACAGAAGCGAAAGCAAATCAAGTCCAGAACCTCGTCCACTTCCACATTGTCCAGCAAAGGCGACAGTGATGGAGGCAGGGACACTCCAATCATCCAATCAGATGAGGAGGAAGTCCAGGTGGACAATTTCATGTTGACCTCCACAACCTCAGCCGTGGAGGAGCATGAAGAGGAAGAGGTGGAGGAAGAAGAAGGGGGCTAACAACCTGGGCGGTTGCCATAGCAATGACACAAAAGCAATACGGGTCCCCCTTAGCCCAAATACAGGTGACATATGTTTGGTGACAAAGATCCTTGTGAAAATTATTCTTCAAGAGTCCATTAGTAAAGACAATGGTTCCATAAAGAACCACTGATACTCAAAGAACGACCTGTATGATTGCATGGTTCTTTGCATGGTGAAATGGTTCTTCGGATTGATGGAGAATGTGTCGTATATGGTTCTCTTTAGCACCAAAAATGGTTTTTCTATTGTTACAAACTTGACATTGTCACAACAGCAGCAGAACCGGTTTTGGTGCTATAGAGAACCATTTTCAAAAAGCTTCTATATAGAACAATATACAACACATTGTCCATCAATCTGAAGAATGATTTTACCATGTAAAGCATGTGTTCATGGTTCTACATAAAACCATCGTCTTTACTAAGAAACCCTTGAAGAACCATCTTTTGTAAGAATATAGGCTGTTATTTATTGTAGGTGTGCCACTAGCCATTCACACAGTGTTGGTGCAGCAAAGTGGTACAGCAGGCTTATGCTGCATTTACATTTTTGCAATGAAAGAAACATTAATCCACTCCTCATATCGGTATGTGACCAAAGACAACATAAAGCCACGCAAGTTACTATTGAAAATGAATGACTATTTAGCAGTGTGGATTGTTTATTTCAGGTGTAAAGGAAGGGAGGATGTTTTACACTCTTTTATTTTGTGTTGTATAATACTGGTTTCATCTGAAATTCAACAATGAAAGGTTTGGCATCAATGGCTCCCAAAACAATCTATATCCAGTGTATTTAACAGCTGTAATTGACAGCAAAAGATGAGAAAATTTAACTCTTGACAAAACATTCTGCTCACCACTGCAGTCTGTGGATCACGCTGAAACTAAAAAGCAAACTTCAGATGCTAAACATGTCCTGGCTGATTGATTACATTTGGGGTTAGATTGGTTAACATTTGGTAACACTTTCTTTTATAGTCTTTTAAGTTCTAGATAATTATTTTAATGGCAAGTTCCAAGGCAGTCTAACTTAATAACACTGGAATGCCCATAGTTTATCCACCAACTGCAAATAGTGAAACAATTGTCCTCTTAAAGGTGCAAACACCTGCCTCACAGCAAGGTGAAAACCAATGACATAACAGAAATGTTGGGATGGTCAATCAGATTTTAGGGGACACTGGCCAATTCAACAACCTCACCCTTGTGTATGCCAAATCTTGTACCAGCTAGCCTAATTGAAGCCACTGTAGATATTGAGTTAGCTTTGAATATGAAGAAGGCTCATGAAGAACTTTAGAATATGGTGACGCAGAAAGTAGCAGTGATGACTTAAAGTTCAGAACTGTTTAACCACAATAGCTAAAATATTAATAATAATAATAATAATAACAATAGTAAGATCTCAAATATAAAATGATTTGATAATGACACTAATAAATACGTATGTGTGATCATTTTAGAATGCAGTTTGTATTTTTTTTATGTATTGTATTTATATTACGTTTTATTAATATATTTTGAAAACCTGTAATGGATGTTCGCTGTTTAAAGGGCCCAGGGTATCATGTAAAACCAAATTTCTCCTGCTTTTTGGAAACAAAAGAGTTTGATGTAGTATGTACATGATTTACATTCAGTGTTTTTGTGATGTCACAAAAAATAACACATTTACATGTATTCACCTATTTAACAGTTTAGCCCAATCATTAAGCATACTGCAGTTTAGCCCCACTCATTCACACTGAAGTTATAAGCAGTGTTTTAACCTCAGTTTTTGATTAAGGCACAATACAGGGCACCAATAAAAACAGAGCTCATTTACATATATTAATCTTTAAGGCACAGTAACAAAAACAGATTGTTTACTTGTAAAAGATACAGATTTTTCCTAAGGGAAAATACTGGTAGGCCGGCCACTCCTGGGAAGGTTCCTGGTAGATTTCAATGACCTTGTTTTGCATCTGTGTTTGAATCGCTGTAGGACGTGGTGTCGTGCTGCTTTTGGAGACCTGCCTTCACATTGCCAGACAGGTTATATTTAAGTGATGTTTAGATTCAGCAGGTCTGGCAGTGATCATGTCTGGGTGTGGCAGTGAAATTGAACACAATAGTCAATTGAATTTGGTTACTTATACACATAGAGCCAGGTAGGGCTGAACTGCATTTTTCCTTCAATAAATGAAATCATCATTTAAAAACAGCATTTTGTGTTTACTTTGTGTTTACTTTGTGTTTTCTCTGTCTGATATTGAAAGTAGTTTGATGATCTGAAACATTCAAGTGTGACAAATATGGAGAAACAGAAGAGTGGGAAGGAGCAAATACTTTTCCCCAGCATCATATAAATAATATACCAAATTGACCCCTTCCCAATATCTATATGTATGTATATTCTTTTTTTAATATTATTTTTTGTGTCAATAATGTACATTTGATTATTGAATCTCGACATGTGACTCTCAGCATAACACAGTCACTTACCACACCACATGTCAATAGTATGCTCCGATCATTTTGGTAAAGTTTGTCCAGAATGAGGGATCAGATAAATCACTCCTCAGCTGCGTACCTGCTGCAATGAGGTGATGAGCTGAAGAGGTGTGTTTAACTAAGAAAAACGCACTTTGGCATTGAGAAGTGATTATCGGGGCTTTTACACACTACAAACAAAGCTCTACTGATGAGTGAGGATGGCCTGAGGTGAAGTTAACAGCTGGTTTTCACACACTGACACAGAGGGCAGCTCTGAACGAGTTTGTCTTTCCAGGGAAAGGGATTTTAAGGCCACAACCTTCTCAAAACAATCTTAAAACAATGTCTCAGACATCAGGCAGTGAATTCATAACCATTTAATGTAATAACTTTCTGTGAGGGAGCTTTTAGAGGTGGACGTCTGGTTCCTATCACCACCACTGTGAATGATTGTGAATTAGTAAGTTTCTCTACAAATTTAATTATAAAGACATTTTGAAATAGTGGTGGAATTATCCTTTAAAAGCACGGTGTTTTTGGTGACTTAATGTATTAATATATAATTCAGCTGTTTCATAGTTTAAAACCAGTTTCAAATTTTTATAATTTATAGTTTTGTCGTTTTCAGTGTTATTCTAAAATGAAGAAAACAGTAAAAATAAAGAAAAGCCTCATCAGTAAGTGTGTTCGACTTGTGAGTCGCAGGTTCTGAGTTCAGGTTGAACGGTGAATGCCCTGATCATGATGGACATTGTGTTTTTATTCTCACTCTGTCACTGCATGTCAACCAAGTGCACCTGCCTTTGTTTGGTTTGCAGTTTTCTAAGTCAAAGCTCTATAGTTTGAGTGCTAATCCTACTTACATACAGCTTTGTGAAATGTTCTGCTTCTGCCTGTGAACAACAACTAAGTGCAGTTTTACTGATTGAAGGAACTTATCTAGGAGACCATTCAGCAGTAACTTAATCCCCTAAACACTACAGCACTCATACACACATTCACATAGTCGAACACATCCTGTATCTAGCCAGACACATCAGTGTGTTCAGTTGGAGACGACACATTTTAGGTTACTTTTAACACAAAATGTGTCATCCATAACTGGGCACAGAAATATTTCAACAAATTTTGTGTTAAAAGTAACTTAAACTGAACACACTGATGTGTCTGGCTAGATACAGGATGTGTTTGACTATGTAAATGTGTGTTACTGTACAGTCCGATAGCATTGTGTACGTTCTGAACGTGATATATGTTCATGATTGGCAGCTCCTCCCTCTATCACGGCATGTCGATCATGTGGTTTGTTATTCTGTTAGTGGAAACGCCCTTGTTTACGTTTGAATACCTTCATACATACCGAGTATCTATAACATTACTGAGTTTTGATGCATTCGTTGCTCTAAATTGTGTAAAAGGATAAAAATAAAAACCTCTTGGATTGGATGGCTGTATGCAAACTTTTAACTGGTACTGTAAGTGCTTTTGGTAGCCACATGGGAATCAATATTCAGTACTACACATAAAAAATGGGCCCAAAATATAATGGTTTTTACTATTGATTTTGGCTGGTCAGAGTTCAGATTAAAACCCTGTAGAGAATATGTGGTCTCACATTATTAATAAACCAGCTTGGCACTGTTTTACATTTTAAAACCACTGATGTCATTTACTGATGCCTAATTAAGGCACAAGAGAGGATAGCGTGACAGGTCTGAAGAAACAAACTCATTAACCTTGGAATTTTCTCATATCTTAAACAGCTGCCAAACCTTAGCAACTGACTATCCATTTATCCAGCTGATGGCGTAGCCTGGAGGGATTCCTGAGAACTAGACACAGCCACTTCTCAACGCTCTTTACCCTCTACAGAAGGTTCACCAATTTGTACTCTTAAATTTTCTTAAATTTAATGGCACTCTTCAGGCTGGTCTTCACCCACTTGTCACGCTAGAACCTCACACTCAACCTGTCGGTGAATAAAACAGTAAGCTATGAGAGGCTGTGCATTACCAGTGTGTAAGGGACGTTATTAGGCATTGCACTGTAAAAAATGGCTCGTGAGCCATTATTCAACTAAAAAATTAGTTTGATTGAAAAAATCATTCATTCAAAGTATTTCTTTAGGTTAAGTAAAACTAGTTCATTTATTTGTCACCACTTGAAGTAATTTTCAGGGGCATGTATTTTAATGTATTTTATAGCTTCTAGAGGCAGGGGGTAAAAAATGCTCCATGCACCAGTGTTGCAGGGCTAGTAATAAACTTTTGATAGTCTCCTACACTATATGTTTTTCTGTGTTCTTTTTTCTTTCTTTTTTGTGAACAACGTTTTAATGAATTAATTATTATTCCCAGCTGGCACTGGGAACAATAAATATAGACAGTAGACTTTGGGTTGAGTTAAATTTAGGATTAGGATTAGGACCAAGGTGAGGGATAGGGTTGGAAGTTGGGTTGAGATTAAAGTTAGGATTTGGACCAGGTATAGATTTAAGTTCAGGCTTTGGGTTAAAGTTAATGTTAGAATTAGTATTTAGACCAGGGTGAGGGTTATATTTAGGTTTTTTGGTTTATATTAAGGTTAGGATTAGGGCCAAGGTGAGGTTTAGGTTCAGACTTTTGGTTAAGTTTAAAGTTAGGGTTGGGATCATGACCAGGGTTAGGGTTAGGTTTAAATTGGTGGTTGAGTTAGGAGTAAGGTTAAGACTAGGACTAAGGTTAGGTTTCAATTAAATAAAAGTGAATTTGCCAGATAATTGAATATAAATTAAAAGCAAGTCATTTTTAGAAAAAAAAAAACATTACAGGTCATATCCAAAAATGGTTACATTGCAAGGTTTTAGAGAAACAAAAGCAGCTGTTTTATGCCATCGCTCCACAGAATCCATTTTACCACTTTTATTTTTAGAGGTGTAGTTACAGAAAAATTAATATGGTTATTTAATAACAGGCCTTAAAGTTAACTGAAAAATACACCTGCAGTTTAAAAGGTTAAATGCATAGCATGTTGTTAGAGCTGTTATCTGTTTAGCAGCACCAGCTCTACTTTTATGTGAAACTCTATTAATCAAACACACAGATGGATTTGAAAAGGCTGTCAGTTTTCAGTCATCTCTACTCCGCCTCCTCTCAGCATCGGTCACACCCCAAACAAAAAGACTCAAGTCAACATCTCAGTCAAACGGGCGGATCGACCAAAATTACCTTTAATGTCATTATAATTACACTCATTATTCCTAACTGACATTGCAGAGACACAGAGACAGGCTTTAGACGTTAGCCCCACAGCAGAGCACATTCTCTCTCATCTTTATATTCAACCTCATAACCTGAGAATAAACGATTCAAATCATAGTCAAATTAGTTTATCACTAAATAAGTCAAAATGGTGTAGAAGGATAGAAATTTGAAAATCCTCCTTAGCTCTTTGGCTGAAAAGGGGGTTCTTAACTAATTTAATAATTATTGACAACAATCTGTGCAGTCTATAATGCTGTCTCTGCTCAAGTAGTCAATTAAAACGGTCATAATTAATAACATTCTGAGCATTTTTCTGTTGTTTTTGTATGCTATTGCCACTACAGGTTATTTACTGTAAGAAATCATAGCAGATTAGTTACCATTTTAGTAACGATGTGCATTTTCCAACAATTTTATTTTTATTTTTTTTTGCCTTAGAAGGATATCTTTAAAGTTGAAGTACCACAGGGTTCCATTTCGGGCCCTCTGTTGATTATACTTATCTATATGTAGAGGCCAGTATTAGCAACACTATTTAAAAAGAAGGGTTCTTTAGCAAAGATAAAGTTTCTATATAGAACCATTAACACTCATTTGCATTATTAAAAGTTTCTTTGCATTGTGAAATGGTTCTTCGGATTGATAGGGAATGTGTTGTATATGGTTATATCACCAAAAAGGGTTCTGCTATTGTGATAATATCAAGCTTGTAACAATAAAAAAAATGTATGTATATAGAACCATTTTCAAAAAGGTGTTATAAACAGCCATCTCCAACACATTCTCCATCAATCTGAAGAACCATTTTATCCCACACAGAACCATTTAATCATACAACATTAAACATACATGTTTAATCAAACATGCTGAGCTCTCTGTTTCATTGAAAGGAAATTTGTTCTATTATTGAATTAATTTTATAAAATTTAATTTGAGCGTAGACAATAAACTATCTTGTATCCTTCACATTGAGCAAATAATAAAGAAGCTAAACAGCTGCCTTTTTGCCGGGGGACACTTCATACACAGAAGCTCTGAAGACAGTTTTACAGTCACTGGATCTGGTCATCATCATATCAGATTCCAAACATTTGACTCATCACTACGATCTTCATCAAAAAGCTGGTCTAGTTTCACTTTCAGTGCAAAGGCTAATATAATGGAGTCCTTAGTGTTGGCCAGCTTCATTCATATTTGTGTGTATGTTTACTAGCAATACTAAGTACAGTCTGTACTCTAATGGTTTGATTTATTCTAAAGTTCTGACAGTAAAACCTTATTAACTTGGAACGGCCTACAGGAACACTGAGTGAGAATTACAATAACAGAGTGACTAATTTCAGATCTTAAGTTAGTCTTTGCTTAAGTGGATCATGTTTCTTGACATTCAGTTATTCTTTTTTTTAATTTATATTGTCTAGTTTTATATTGTTAACTGTTTTTATATATTTTAACATTGTGCATCTTCATTTTTCATGGGTTTCAGAAAGGAAGCAGGAAGCAGGTGGCACTGTGGGTAGAGCTGTCGCCTCACAGCAAGAAGGAGTTCAATTCCCTGACCAGGCAACCAGGGTCCTTTCTGTGTGGAGGGTGCTCTGGTTTCCTCCTACAGTCCAAAGACATGCAGTCAGGTCAGGGGTCAGCAACATGCGACTTCTAAAGCCCTGTTGCAACTCAACAGCAGAATTTGATTTTTAGGCAAAAATAAAACGATAATTTTTATTATTTAATAAAAATCAGTTTTAACAATATATGATTATAAACACTGGAGTTAATGTAGCCTATATCTGCTAATTGAGCAAACCTTAAACCTGAAGGTTGGCGTGCAGACTGCTGATCACCATAGCAACACAGACAACAATCTTGCCTAGCTAGTAGTTAACAAAAAGTAAAGAGAAACATTTAAGATGAACATAAATATTCATTAATAAAGCAGCTATGGCTGAGCTAAAGCTTAAAGCAGAGCAAATTAGTCTGTGGTTTTGTTTTTATTTTTATCCTATACTCACACATTAGCACATACTGAAACATATTTACAACCAAGATGGTAAAATAGACATAAAATGTTGTGGCTCCCAATGTGGTTTGATTTTTACTGAAAAGACAAAATGGCACTTTGTAACATTTGGGTTGCCGATCTCTGAGTCAGGTGAATTGGAGATACTAATTGCCTCCATTTGTGTGTGTGTCTATGTGTCTGCCCTGTGATATATGGGCGATCTGTCCAAGGTGTTTCTTGCCTTCTGTCAAAAGACTGCCGTGATAGGCTCCAGCACCCGCCGTAACCTAGGAGGATAAGTGGCTTAGATCATAAATGAGTGAGTAAATAAATAACAAATATAATTAAAAGGCATAAAAATCTCTTTGCTTGTCATCAAGAATATTGTGCTGCAGTCTGGTATACTTTACAGAAGCATAACATATTTCTTCCTCTTGGCAACTGGATAGTCCTGTTTATGTCCACGTGGGAAACTTCAGGGAAAACTGCGGTGCGCATGAGAAGAACAAGAGAGAGAAGAATAAACGAAGGGACGCGTCCGTCCGTATACAAGCTGTTCACGTCAAAGTGGCCCCTCCCAGACCTGCAGCCTGAGGGCTCTTTCCGTTCATGTGCGAGTGTTATTTGCAGAACAGAGAGAGAGAGAGAGAGAGAGAGAGAGAGAGAGAGAGAGAGAGAGCAGCAACTGTGTGGCGGCTGTTGTACCTTCTGTCGAGCAACTTACTGTCGTGTTTGGAAGCTAAAATTTATGATCATTTTAACTTGAATTCTTCAGGATGAGGATGACCTTCCGTCTCCTTCTTCTGCTGTCTGTAAGTAGAACACATTTCTGTCTGAGTCTCTCTTTGTTTTTCTTTATACTATCTAATGTGTTCAGTTCAGTTCTGCTTTACTGCTATTTGTAGGTATAAAAATACATACACTGGAATTTAAGAGTGGAGCTCATTGAAAAACATAATAAAAAGAAAGAACCTACACACATACACCCTCATACAGCCACTAACCATCCATACATCAATTTAAAATTCACACAGCACTACACTTGTTCAGATTGATGAAGAATGTGTTGTATATGGTTCTATACAGCACTAAAAAGCGTTCTTCTATTGTTATGATGTCAAACTTGTGACTTTTTACACTCAATATGGAGTTCAATTGTTGATGAAACAAAACTGAAACACTCCATTGTCATTTATTTGGCTTTCCCTGGAACAGAATTCTCTTTAAAATAAACACTTTTCATTCATCTGTGCCTAATACAAGTAAAACTGGTTACTCTAAAACAACACAATTCATTTGATTATTGTCTACATGTTTTAGTTTGTAATTCAAACAATCCAGTTGGTTCTTTGTTTTTTGTTTTTTCTAATGTAAAGAAATTCCTTATAATCTTCACACTCAAGCCTGCCTTCTTTGAAAGCCTTAACAATACAGACACTTTTGAGCCTTCATAATTGATATTAGTTGACCATGAATAATCAAATGAAATCACAAATCTAAAAAATTGAAATAAAAACTACTATTTCTTTCCATCTTTTTTTTATATAATTGGTCCACGTTCCTTTCATCTCTTTTGTTTTATTGACGTTCATAATGAGATTGTTATAGCCCACCATTCAGCCAAACCTTCTCTCTGTACCTGTTTTCCTCTGAAGTGATGAAACCATGTACTGAGATATCATCAGCGTATTTGATTATTAAATTAGAGTGTCACACTGAGCCTGACAGTCAGTAGCAGCAAAGATAGTAAAGCGCAGGCTTTGATGTAATGTGTTACAAGCTGAACAAGTTCTAAAGCAGAAGCATGCCGGTGTAGTAGAGGAGAGCGGGCACAATGGCACATTTTGTTTTTGGGGAATCATTTTTAAAATAGTTGGAATAATCATGTTTTTATGCAAGCAACATATACATCTCTGCTACAAACAAACACTTGAACTGTTTGTAGCTTCTACCATTCATGTACAATTCCACTCATAATGACAGGAAGTAGAGTGTTACAGTTTAGCCCATTGGTGCACTCTTAAAAATTATGGGGCTCTTCAGTACAGGAAGTGGTTCTATGTAGAACCATAAACACTCAAAGAGCCCCTTGCATGATTAAAGGGTTATCTGCATCATGAAAGGGTTCTTCAGACTGATGAAGAATGTGCTGTAGATGGACGTAGATAGAATCCTTTAGAAAAGGGTTCTATATAGCACCCAAAAGGGTTCTTCTATTGCAACAAGCTTGACATCGTAACAATAGAAGAACCCTTTTAGGTTCTATTTAGAACCCTTTTCAAAAAGCACATTCTCCATCAATCTTAAGAACCATTTCATGATGCAAAGAACCCTTTAATCATGAAAAGGGTTCTTTGAGTGTTCATGGTTCTATATAGAACCTTTTATATATATATATATATATATATATATATATATATATATATATATATATATATATAGAATCTTTGGGTTGGGAGTGTGGGTTCACTGTAACAGACAGAGGGTCAGTTTAACTCCTGCTAGAAAAGTCTAATCAATCAGTGCAAGGTAATTCAATATAATTCTGTGTTCTAAGAAATATATTTTTCAGCCGTACTGCATTTTATATTGTCATCTATACGACAGACAGATAAACTGATATACACACACATCAAATTGTATATGAACACTGACATGAGACAGCAAATAAAAACATCCCACATCAGTAAAATATGGAACATTGTTTCTGAATAACTACTTTACCAACTGTTAATGTCAATTTCATTGATATACCAAAACACTAACATCTGAAAGACTCTAATAAAGTAGAAGAAAATCCCTGTTTTCAGATCTTTTCTCTTTTTCATCTTAAAATCTGTGTAAACATGTGGAATAAAAAGACCAAATGTACTTTGTCTTTGTTTACTAAAGGTGTCTTAGCTGTATCGCCGTGTAAGAACTAACCCTGCAGTACTGTAATTAAGCCCAGCTGCACTTGCTGTCAGCTGCTTCAAAATGGTGCTGCGTTGTAGGAAACAAGATGATGATTAAAGTAATATAAAGCTGAATTTTGTGATTTACACAAACAGCTCAGTAACTGGAAAACCGTGCATTGAAAAAAATGACTTACATGCCCTGAAAACACTCTTTGGCTCAGATCTCTTTAAAACACTGACCAATCACTCTGAATTTTGGTGGGAGAAGCTCTAGCTACATTTAGAAGATTTGTTCTTAATGATTTTGCAAGACCAGAACTAAAGCAGAATTTATTCATTCTTAATAACCACTGCCTTACCCACAGAACGTGCTTATTATTCATTTTTTCAGGGCATAAAACGTTTGACTTTATAGCATGGGTGCTATAGTCTAACTAAGCTTATAGCACCCAGCCAATTTCTGGTATAGTAGTTCTTCTCAATTTATTAAGAATACATTACAGATGATACAAAATAAGTTGATCAGGGTTGTATTGAAAACATCTCCTTGTACACATTTGGAAGCAGATCATATTGAACAACTCAACCTTCTTCAGGTAGAGGAAAGAGTAAACGCAATTAAGCTAATAAATTTGTCCCGAACTACCTGCAGTTTAATCTTGTACAAGATAATTGCAGTTATGCAACTAGAGGAAGTGCAACAACAGTTCATTTGATAAAAATACATTTTTATATACTGTTATGTGGAAGATTTTGGGTGACCAGGGTTCTTTCTGTGTGGAGTTTCTGTTCTTCTCCCCGTGTCTGTGTGGGTTTCCTCCCACAGTCCAAAGACATGCAGTCAGGCCAATTGGAGATGCTAAATTGCCCCTTGGTGTGAATGAATATGTGTGTGTATCTGCCCTGTGATGGACAGTTTACCTGTCCAGGGTGTTTCCTGCTGTCTGATCAAAAAGTGTTGGGGTAGGCTCCAGCACCCCCTGTGGCCAGAAGGATAAGCTGCTTAGAAGGTATTTGTGTGTACTACCTTATCTATCATCTTGATATCTTTTATGAGAACCACAATAGAAACAAGCCTGTTTTTATTCTTGATTATTTTTAAATGCTTGTAAGTTCTGTATGAATGCACTCTTATGTGTATTTTATGTCATTGGCAAATAAATCATCACCATAATACAAAAAAACATGCTGCAAACCACCACTGAGATACATTCAGTGTATCTTTATTATAGATCAGCATAAGTGTCTGCAACAGACTTTAAAAACACAAATATTCATCCTAGAAAATTCCTCCACAGCTAATCAGACGAAAGGGACAAGTGAAGAATGAGGAAATCAGCAGGTATCGGGACGAAACAGAAGAGAGAGAGAGAGAGAGAGAGAGAGAGAGAGTGAGAATCCTGATCTGAGAGATGATGAGCGGAAGTGAGAGAATCCACTTACGCTGCATTAGTTCAGTGTTTTTATAGAGACTCGTAGAAACTAGAGCCTGACTGTCTCAGAGACCCAGAACAAAGAAGAAACAAAATGATTAATCCTTTGTCAGCAAAAATAACTAATAATTCTACCAATGAGCCCCTTCACTGGTCTCTGTTCATTTGTTTCTTTGTTATGCCACAAAGTTAATGTGTGCATTTTAGAAAGGTGCTGAAATCTGTAAAACATTATTATTATTATTATTATTATTATTATTATTATTATTATTATAGCAAATAATAAGAGTTATTTGTTCATATTCTATAGAGAAAATGTTTAAATATGAAAATTTTTAAAAAAATTCTGTACATATTAGTGCACAATTTATTTGCTGTTTGACATACTGAAAAAAAAAATTAAATGTGCCACAACTTTTGCACAAGCCACATTTTGTTTTTGGTTTTTTTTTTTAGTAGGAAGCTTTGTATAAAAATAGAGAAACATTAAATGAGTTCAGAATGATCCATACTACTACTACTACTACTAATAATAATAATAGTAGTAGTAGTCTTATTTTATGCTGCATCTTTCATACATTAAAATGTAGCTCAAAGTGCTTCACAGTAAAAACAGCAGATAAAGACGAGTAAAAAAGGTAATTAAAAGTAATAGTACCTAGTAAAAGTAATAATGATTAAAAGTTAAGGTGTACACGATCGAAGCAAAATATTAGACAAGCATTCAATCTAAAAGCCATAAACAGGGATGGACATATAAATTAAAAATGAAACCACTTAAAAAATAAAGAATGTAGGCACATGAAATTACAAACTCAGTGGTGTTAGAAGGTGCTAAACTGTTACTGAACAAATGCAGAAGATGTAAAAGGTTCTAAAATGACTAAAAAACATCAAGAATGAAGTTCTCACATCATTAATATCCAGACTGAAGCTCTAATTTAGTAGAATAAAAATGTTTATGCATTAACTCTTAAAACAGATGGTTCTTTTTAACACCCAAAGAACCATTTTCATGCTTAAACGATTCTATGCATGGTGATATGGTTCTTCAGGTTGATGGAGAATGTGTTGTATATGGTTCTTTTTACCCCCCAAAAAGGTTCTGCCATTGTTACTACACTCTTTAAAAAGATGATTCTTCAAAGAACCCTTATCCTGACTGGATAAGCGGTTCTTTGCATTGTGAAAAGGGACTTCAGATTGATAGAGAATGTGTTTTATAGGGTTCTATAAAGACCTTTTTTGAAAAGCGTTCTATAAGGTACCAAAAACAGTTCTATTGTTACAGGCTTGATGTCATAAGAATAGAAGAACCCTTTTTGGTGCTATATAGAACTCTTTTAAAAAAAGTTTCTACAAAGAACCATCTACATCACGTTCTTCATCAATCTGAAGAACCATTTCAACATGCAAAGAACCATTTAAGTGTTCTTTGAGGGTTCATGGTTGTATATAAACCATTTTCTTTACTAAAGAACCCTTAAAGAACAATATTTTTTAAGAGGGTATGTCAAGCTTGTTACAATAGAGGAACCCTTTTTGGTGCTATAGAACCATTTTCAAAAAGGTTCAATAAAGAACTACCAATTCACATAGCACAATGAAAGACTGCTCTTCAAGGGTTCTTTATCTAATATAATGGTTCTATATAGAACCCTGAACACTCAGTGAACCATTTGCACATTAAATAGTTTTTTTTTCATGGTAAAATTGTTCTTCAGATTGATGGAGAATGTGTAGTATATGGTTCTATATGGCACCAAAGGGTTCTTCTATTGTTATGAAGTCAAGCTTGTAACAACAGCAGAACTATTTTCAAAAAGATTCTACATAGAACCACATACCACACATTCCCTATCAATCTGTGAAAACATTTTACCATGCGGAGAACCATTCGAGCCTGCAAAGGGTTCTTTGAGTGCTCATGGTTCTATATAGAACCATTTTCTTTACTAAAGAACCCTTGAAGAACCATGTTTTTTAAGTTTGTAGCGGAAAAGTCATTAAGTGTCTACCTAGTTTGTGTAGTGTAGTGGGTAACACCTCTGCCTTCTACGCTGTAGACTGGGGTTCAATCCCCACCTGGGTAAACACCCTACACTATACCAATAAGAGTCCTTGGGCAAGACTCCTAACACTACCTTCACCTACCTATGTAAAATGATCAAATTGTAAGTCAGTCTGGGTAAGAGTGTCTGCCAAATGCCGTAATCAGTCAAGCTGATTAAACAATGTTAAGTGTGTGTTAGCTGGGTTTAAGAAAACCAGAGGTTCTACCCACAGGGACAAAGGAGATGTTTCCATGGTTACAGTGAGTTATTTTGCTGAATTTGCCTACCAGAAGCTCAGCTTCCTTCAGCTTTGCATGGCAGCTCCAGCTTTACTGCAGTCAGCAAATGCTGTAGAAACACACTTACAAACAGCAATACAACAAATACAATCTCGGTGGTTCCTCTAGAAGGAGAACTGTACTGACAAATACAGTTGTATGCAAAAGTTTGTATACAATGTGGCCTGTGCAAAAAATATGGTGCATTTTATACTGTTTTATTTTTCACTAACATGTTAAATTCAGCAAATAAACAGTAATTGTGTATTAAAATGTACAGAAGTGTGTCTCTGTAGAGGATGTGTTAACTTATTTAAACTTCAAATGAGCAACAACCTTTGCACACAACTGTATGTAGTCTTAATTGTTGAACATTTGCAGATTATTTGTTATTTAGTGCAGATTTCACAAGGATTCAATTTAATTTGAATATTTTGGTGAAATTCAGAATTATTTTTAAAACACACTGAATACACAAGTGTGACTGGAACTATTTTTATAGTACACTGTTATAAATAAAGTGCACCTTAAATAAGTTTTTCCAGGCGAAAAGTACGTTTTTGTACCTTTTCATAACCTAATGTTTTAAAACAGAACATTAAAATGAAAAGCCTGGAGACGAGATGGGGTGTGTGGAGTCAATACAACTTAGAAAATATGATTATGGTACAGTTATGTTCCGTGACTAAAGGTACTAAGATGTACTCTTGAGGATCCCACCCAAGTGACAAGAGTGACAGTTTAGTAGCTTTATTTCTGAGAGTGTAGTAGAATAGAAAGATTTCATCATTTACTTTTCTATTGAAAAATGTACAGTTTTTGTTTTTTACATTTTTGTTTGAAAATAGCCTGAGAATTTTATTCCAACCCATATTCTCCTACGTTTATTATTAAATGTGTTCTTGAAAAAGATACAAAGATAAAGTCTACATCACATTCATGATGTGCTCTTAAAGAGCAGAACTGTTTTTACCTTTGTTCTCTTGAGTGTGTGTAGATTCTGTTCTTACCTGAAAACAAATCCCAAATAAGAAAACACTGGTGAATGTCAGAATCTTTGTAAAAACTGCATCAAATCTGAAGAATGGATGGTAAATGAGGCCCAATGTTATTTTTCAAAGTGTTAAACAATAATAACTGATGATGGCCAGTTGTTCAGTGGGAACACTGTGAGTTTTACTTACAGGGCGTAAACCAGACAGAGGGTACTAAATAAGCAGCTCTGCTACTGTCAGAAACACTGTGTTCATATTGACAGGTGACATTTTTACAATGAACATTTTTTACCAGATTTGTCAGTTATGTTTAACAAAACTTGTGACACATTCCACTCGCTGTTCTCCTCTCAGACAGCGTTTATGATGGTGTTGAAAGTTTCGGAAGATGTTTGTCTGAATGTAAGTGTCCTACAGTTTAGTCCCCATAACGCCTCGGCCTGAGGGTTTGTGCAGCAGCTTGTCTATCAGCTGAACTGAGACTCTCGTCTCTCTTCAGCGTTTTAATTCAGCTTTTATTTTGGCTTCTTAGATTCAAAGAAATGAACTGTTCAGATTAGCAGGCACTGTAAAGATTGTTATTTTTGGCAGTAAAAGTCTATCTAATAATTGAATAACTACAAATAAATAAGGCTGTCAAATGATTCAAATAAAAAATTGTGATTAACTGTGTTATTTGGTGATTTGCTCAGATTTGACCTTCATAAAAAAGATTTGTATCCAGTTATGAAGCAGTGCATTGTGTTATAGTTATAAAAGTGGACAAAATAAGATTCACTGGAATGTATGTATTACTTTCAGTAGTTTAACATAATTTTTGAATGCAGAACCTGAAAAAAAAACCAATTTCTTGAGTTTAGTTTTCATCACCAATGTCCAGTGAGAGCAACCAACCAATGAGTGTATATATCATACATATCATATATACAATAAATAAGTGTATATGTCACATATACACATATCATATATACAGCCAATGAGTGCATATATCATGAATATCATAATTAAAGTCAATAAGTGTATATGCATCATACATACCATACACAGTTAATGAGGATACATATCATACATATCATATACAGTCAATTAGTGTATATATCACAGACGACATATAAACATTATATCAATAACTTTACTGAAAACAAAAACAATTTTTTTCTGTATTTTAATGTATTTTATGACTGTTAATCAACACATTAATAATAAGTTAACAACATTCAATTTGTGGTATTAAATGTTTAAAAGAAAAAGAAGGCAATTTAAAAAAAGGAGTGTAAAATGATGTTTCAGGTGTGTGAACGGTGAAACAGAGGGTGGGAGTGTGTGTGTGCATGTGTGTGTGTGTGTGTGTCTGTGGGAATGCTCTAACTGAAGGTTTGTTGGTATATAAATAATGACAGGTTTGTTTTTGGAATGACTTTTCATGATGGTTCCATCTGACCTAGTTTAATAACAGTAGTGTACTCTATGTGTACAGTAGTGTTGTGTGTGTATATATATATATATATATATATATATATATATATATATATATATATATATATATATATATATATGTGTGTGTGTGTGTATATATATATATATATATATACACACACACACACACACAAGTGATGCTCCCCTCCTTCTGGCTGTCACACAATGTTGCTTCTAGGCAACATACATATTCAGGGAAATTCCCAAAAATTATTTATACAATACAGAATGAACACCATAAAAGATGTGAAATATGTTTTTGGATGGATGAAAAAATGTGAAAAAATTTGCTTCTTTGAGGTAAATTGCCCAGATCAGAAATATTTGAGATCTACAAGCTTCACAATGTCAGAACAAGGTTTATAAATGCCCACCAGTAGACAATATGAACTGTAACAGCATCGTTTATTGGTTTATTTAAACACTTGCCTTCAATATTTACCCCATTCATTGCTATTAAATATTATATTATTGTAAAGTGAGAAAAATGAGTTTGTGGCTTTGTTGCTCTGAAGCAACATAAAGCAATGGAGACATAAATAATGAATCTAATTGCTCAAACCTGTTTGTATGTCCACATTGTATAAAATAGCTCTTCAGAACAGCCTAAAAAAATGATGTAGTAACAAGTACAACTAGTTTAAGTCAACCTAAATAAATACTTTAAATGAGTGATTCTTAAATAAAAGATATAAACAAAACTAGTTCAGTTGCTTGTTATTACATGAATTGTTTATTTTTTGTTATGAATAAAGTTACATTAACTCTGGTCAAGATAAAAATATCTGAGTACTCTTAATATTCCCAAAATAGTCACTATTTTAAGAAAATGAAATCTTACCTTACCTTTACTTTAAATTTGAGAGAAAGTTGAAAAACCCCAAAATTTCATTCTCCGCAATCACTGTTTTTTCTCATATTATTTTTCCTCAGCTCTGGACAGAAACTGCACTCAGCGACCTGAGCCTGGAGAGGAACCTCACAGAGAAACATGTATGTATTCAGAGCAAAACTTTAACCTAAAAACCTCAGGAAAACCTCAAACCCTGAAAAAAAATCTTGCCTTCAATTAACCATTTTTTTATTCAATGATTTACTCCTCACTTCATTATTACTGAAAATGCTTACTTATTCTTTACTTAATCACATTTTCAGGTGAAAAATACTTTTTAGTTCTTTTATTTAAATTTAGATCTTCAAGGATTTCAGTCACAAATCTCAAAGTCCAGTAGATTCGTCTCTCTCGACAGTCAAGTTCACGCACAGCTAAATTTTTACATTTATGAAATTGTTCTGTTGAAAACATTAATTGCACAGTGTTGAACCCTGATTACAAACGTGTTATCATTAGTGTCCCTGAGCATGTTTACATTTTCATAATTACATCATAATTTGATGTAATACCTGTTTTTCAACTTCAGTACAATTTCTCTACCTCAGCTGAACTTTATCATCATTAGCATTTCATTTCCATCTCCTTTGTAAGGAGCGTGTGCTGATTCGCACTAAGAGGAGGTGGGTTCTCTCTACAATCGAGCTGCAGGAGGAGGATCCTGGACCTTTTCCCAAAGTGGCCACACAGGTAACACACACAGTCACAGAGGAGGGATTACGAGCTGAGTCCTCACTCCACAGGGATGTCTCACTGCACCTGCAGAAGAAGCTAGAATTAGAAGTTTGGGCTGTACCAAAAAAAAAATAAATAAATGAACAAGTCTGAAAATACATAAGAAAAAAAAATGAATAAACAGAAAAATACATACTATTAGATAAAAAACAAATGAACCCAAAAACAGTAAAACATAAGGAGACTCCAGTTTATTCAGTTTTTATTTATAGTGATCTCGATAGAAGAACACAGGTTAATTTGTTGTTTTCCTCAGTGCAGCTTCAGCCACTGCTGGTATTTTTTCATATACACCAACAGCATAATGGATTTAACTTAATGAAGGTTGATTAACCTGACTGAACTCAATCAAGGATTATTAGCCTGATTTATTTTAATGAATGTTTGATTAGCCTGATTTACCTTAATGAAAAATTGATTAACCTGATTTGCCTTAATGAAGGATTGAGTAACCTGATTTAACTTAATGAAAGATGATTAAACTGGTTTAATGAAGGATTGATTAACTTAATGATGTACTAATTAAACTGATATAATTAAGGATCCATTAACTAATGAAGGATCATTTATATTGCTTTAACCTAATGAAGGTGTGATTAAATTGATTTAATATTAGGAAGGAAATAATTAATCTGGTTTAATTTAATAAAGGATTACTAACCTGATTTACCTTGATGAAGGATTGATTAACCTGATGTAACTTAATCAAGTATTATTAACCTGATTTAACTTAATGAAGGATAATTCATTGAAGCATTGCTTATACTGATTCAACATAATGAAGTTTTAATTAAATACATTTATTTAATGAAGTATCAATTACACTGATTTAAAGAAGGATTGATTAACTAAATGAAGGATTGTTTATACTGCTCTAACTTAATGAGTTGATTAAATTGAGATGTGATGAAGGATTGCTAAAATGGATTTTATTTAGTGAAGAATTAATTAAACTGGTTTAATGAAGGACTGATCAGAATAATGAAGGATTGATTATACTGAGTTAATTTAACAAGGGGTTGGTTAACCAGGATTAAAGTATTGAAGGATTGATTGAACTGATTTCAATAATAATAGTACAAATGTTTGTTCTCTCTCTGTTGGAACCAGTTGTATAACGATAAGAGCAATATGCACAAACTCCGGTTCAGTATCAGTGGTCAGGGCGTGACAGAAGACCCGCAGGGTATTCTCACCATTGATCCCTTCACTGGTGTGGTCAGCGTACACAAACCTATCGACCGAGAAACGTACGCTACTTTCATGGTGAGTCACTGCTTGTGGGTATTTCCCTTCAGATTTCTGACAGTGCTAAAAAGAAATGAACCTAAATAGTTAGCAGTTAGCATGATTCCCTTGCATAAAGCTAGCTAGTGGTTATTCACCTTTGTTCATTATTAGCATTGTTAGCATTTTCAAGTGAACTGCAACTTTAATGGTAATGATGACATTGTTGAAGTGCGAATCATTCATTTGAGAAGGTTTGTGTTCTTATCTCCATATAATCACTGTCATTAGAAAATGGGCACAAGCCGATTTTTTTCTGTTCTTATTTATTTGGAGTTGTGCTTGAAAGTTTGTGAGCCTTTTAAAATGTTCCATATTTCTGCATAAATATGACCTAAAAGATATTTTATACATATCACCCCTTTAGCTTCTGATTGTTTTTAATATATTCTGGATCTCCTTGTGTCTTATTGTTAATGATCAGGTGAAGTTTGATGTGTCAGATCGAGAAACCAACGAAATTCTTGACAAAACTTTGTCGTTCAGCGTAGCCGTAAAGGACATAAACGACAATGCACCTCAGTTCTTACCTGAGGTTCTACATACAACAATTCCAGAGAACATCCAAGAAGGTCAGAACCATGCAAACTACTGCCTCACAAGCACCATTAACAAGAGAACATTCACACAAAGTTTGCAAATTATTGTGTAATTCTATTGTAAGTGCACCAAAAAATAAATAAATACACATTGCATAAAACTACTGGGAACTGCAAATGAACATGAAGGTAAATATCATTATATGATTACAGTAAATTGATCATTGATAACTCTGTAAATGTAAAATATTTACATATCTAAATAATCAACACACAATTATTTCATAATTTAAATAATACACTGTAAAAAGTGGCTCGTCAGATCAACCTAAAAAGACTTACCTCATGTGGTAACAAGCAATTGAACAAAAACTACTTTGATTGAAAGAATCATTCATACAAAGTATTTATTTAGGTTGAATAAAACAAGTGAATTTACTTGTTAACACATGAAGTAATTTTTTTAGGTAGATCTGAGGAGCCACTTTTTACAGTGTAAAAAAAACAATGTTGTTCATGCATAACTCATTGTTAATCAATCTGAAGAACCATTTCACCATGCAAAGAACCATTTAAGCATACAAATGGTTCTCTGATTGTTCATGGTTCTACATAGAACCAATGTCTTTACTGAAGAGCTCTTGACGAACCATCTTTCTGTAAGAGTGGCATTACAACATTCATGTTCACAATGTTCTCATGAACAGATTTTGTACTATTATAATGAGTCATAAATCCTGACATAACAAAGTTATATACTCTTGCTTTATAAAGTGTTATAAATGTAACTGAACAGTAGCTACTTATAAGCAATTACACAAGGTCATGATGGACATTATAAGGTACTATGTGTGTCATACCGCTGTTGTCGGAACAAAACCTTGTATCTCCAAAATGGTAACTTCAGAATGAAGGAAAAAACTTTTTATGTAAGTCAATGGAACCAGACTTTTTTCATTTTGGGTCATTTCTTTTGGTCCATTCATCATGAAATTTATACACAATGTATAGGGCATTCAAATTCTATCAAAAACTGAGAAACAACCGAACAAAAATGAAGATATGAGGTTTTCTTTAGAGAGAAGCAATATAATGCCTGATAAATGTACTTAGTATGTATTTCTTGTAGAAAGCTTCCCAGAAGAGTGGAAGCTGTTATAGCTGCAAAGGGGGACCAACTCCATATGAATGCCTATGGATTTAGAATTTGTCATAAAGGCTCCTGTGGGTGTAATGTGGGTGTAATGTGTAGGTGTCCCAATAATTTTGTCTATATAGTATAACTCTTCTTGCACTCAAAACGCTAACTTAGTATAGACTGAAAGTTTACAGTGTGCACTTTATACACATTGTCTCCACTCGTGTCAGTGAGCTATAATTCATATAAAATCACAGCCTGCTTGTTGCTGCTGTAGCCGTGTGTGTGGGGGGGCTGGTGAGTTGCCATAAAACATGCTAATACAGGCTCTTCAACATAAGCTGTGCAGCCATGTATAACTATTTGTAAAGCCTGCAACTCACATAAACTTTTTGCACTTCATCATTTAATTTCATTTTTTACCAATAAACTCACTGTAAAAATGCCAGGCAGTTATTATAATTGATAATTACTGCACTCACACTACTGCACTCATACTGTGGTATTTCTTTATAGTAATGATGGATCACTAACTAAATTAAACAGCAGTGAAGAGGATGATGGTTTACTGCTTCAAAAAAGTACTTTGGCACATTTTTTTACAGTAAATCTATGTATTATTACAGTGTTGTTACAGTGATATTACAGCAGCCATACAATGGAGTGTTTGATACAGTAAAATCTGACTGTACTGTAAACTGTAAAACACATTTTAAGTGTCATACCGGCAATACTTGGAGAAATCATTTTTCTACTTTGAGGCTATTTTGTAAAATTTTGCAAAAGATTATGTCTTTGCTTGTTTGTTCCCTTTATATATTTCTCATACCCAAGGTCACTGTATAAGGAACAGTGCTGAGTGAAATTCAGAGACCACCCTTCATTTATTTAATTTCCAGTCAAAATGGCCATTAAGTAAAATGTATTCATTTTTTCAGGCAATTTCTGAATAGATTAGATATAACAGAATGAGTGTGCATAAAGAAGGAGAAGGTCACAGTGAAATAATTGAAAATGCAGTCCTTTAGTCCTTTAAATGAGTCCTTTAGATTGGAGTTCAAAAAATATTTAAAAGGTACAGAGAAAATGGGCCTTTTAACAACCACCTGGAAGATCTGGTAGACACCCAAACTGCCCCATCAGATAAACAGCACTTAAAGCTTTCCTCTTTGAGAGAGAGGAGAAAATCAAGCTGCTTCAGATCTAAAAAAAAAACATCCACAGTTGTTTCTGTCCATCCTTCCACTGTGAGAAGTCCAGACCTCAACATCACTGAATGTGTTTGATTACATTAGAAAATGATTAACCAACTTCTAAGACTGAACTTTGCACTGAACTGAAAATGAGTCTTCTGACAGGAATGGAAGCTGTAATGAAAGTAAAGAGTGACACACTGAACACTCAAATATCTAGTATTAGATTTAGCTGTTAAGGCTTCTGTTTTGGTTTTCTTTTAAATATGTTTTCTATTTTTTTTCTTCAACACTGAAAAATGAACTTAAAGGCTGTTTTGACTGGAAATTCAATAAATGAAAGGTGCTCTCTGATGTCTCTAACTTTCCATATAAATAAAATACATTGCACTGAAATGTTGCTTTTTTTGTGTGTTCAGACACAGTAACCTTGTTCTGTTCCTGCTGTAATAGGAGTGCTCTCAGTTTCACTGCAGGCCAAAGACAAAGATGAGAAAGGCAATGAGAACTCTCGCATCACCATGAGGGTGGTGTCTCAGGAGCCACCATCACCAGTTATCACCCTCAAGCCTCTCAGCACAAGCGCTACAGATGACAACATCATCGCACAGCTCGCCTTCACTGGGTGCTTTGATTACGACGTAAGTGTCATAGTTAACACAGAATAATACACAAAAACAGAGTGTCACTTTTGAGTTCTCTCCAGATAAGGCTGCAGATTTTTCAGTGTAACCATTTATTACTTGAGAAACATTCAAAATTAAACACATGCTAACCTACCCAAAGCTGAGAAATAAGTTCATGCTTTCATTCTGTTGTATGTGAAGTTTTAACATCCCCACACCATGACAGATGCTGGATTTTGAACAGACACTGGTAACAACTTGAATGGACCTTTTTTTCTTTGGCTCAGAGATCATGACATCCATAATTTCCATAAACAACCTAAAGCTTGACCCGTCAGACCACAACACATATTTCTGCTGTGCATCAGTTCATATCAGTTGAACTTTAGCTCAGAGAAGGCGGCGGTGTTTCTGGATGCTGTTGATATATGACTTCCACTGTGCACAGTATAGTCTTAACCTGCATTTGTGGATGCCGTGACAGTTTACTGATAATGGTTTGTCAAAGTATTCCCAAGCCCATGTGGTGCCTCCATCTCAGTTACATTTCTGTTTTCTATGCAGTGCATACTTAGGTGTCGAAGATCACAGTCGTGGTTTTTATTCTTTTCCTTTATGTACAGAGATTTCCCCAGATTCCCTAAATCATTTGATGATATTGTGTACTGTAGAGGGTGAAATACCTAAAATCCATGCTATTCTTTGCTGAGGAACATTATTTGTAGAGTTTTGGATTTTTTGCTGCTCACTTTTGGCAAAGTGGTGAACCTAAAACTAAACTCGCTTATAAAGGTCTCAGCCTTTCCTGGATGCTCCTTTGCTTAAGTACAATTGCATCACCTCTTTAAGATGTTTTTTGAACATTTCACAATGTTCCTGGTCTTAAATATCTCCTGTCCCAACTTTTTTGAAACATGTTGTGGGCATTCGTTTCAGAATGAACATATAATTACAAAGAAAAGGTACAATATTACGTATCTTGTCTTTGTACTGCATTCATTCAAATGCAGGTAGACTTATAAATCACTGCTTTCTGTTTTTATTTGCATTTTATGTAATATCCTAACTTTTTTTTTGGAACTGGGTTTGAATGTTAAGTTTTACATTTTTTCCAAAATGTTAAACTAATCAAATAAATAGAAAGCGAGCATTAATTTAAATAATATTAAATTTATTGAAGTATGTTCTCTGTAGAGCATGTTTTAACTTATTTTCAAATAGAAAATCAATAAAACGTAATGTAGTGTACAAACTTTTACATTCTATTGCAAATACTAGGCTAGGCTACTATACCATGTTAATGGCTGGTTGTCTTGCACTTTAAATCCAAGAAAAACACTGATTAATTCACATTTACTTATGGAAATTCACTTAAAATGTGTGAAACGTTAAATTGGCTCCAGCTAGTTCAGAATGCAGCAGCCAGTGTCCTAATCAGGAAATTATAGTTTGAACTTACTCCAGTCTCATTCAGTTTACACTCGCTTTCTGTTAAGTTCTGCATTTACTGCAAAGTCTTGCTGACATTTGAAGCCCTTTCCTTTAGCTCATTAAGACCATGACATTTATCCAATGTTTTACTTATGTTGCTTTGTATAAAATAGAGATTTCTAACTAAAACGACATGAAGATTATAAATGTATTACACTTCCATATGCATAAACACAAACTTGCTAACACATTCCTGTCTTGTGTGTTTTAGAAAGCAAAGGCTTATAAACTGCTTGTTGAAGCCCAAGATCATGGAAGCCCAGCGCTCTCCTCTACTGCCACTGTTAATATAGCCATCACTGACTCCAACACACATCTACCTGTGTTCACTGCCACAAAGGTGAGTCTGTTTAAACTGCTCATGTATTCACTCTGATTAGAGGAATAGCTAATGTGGCTAACAGTTAATGGAACCAGTGGCCTCCTAAGAGTATGAAGTCCTGTGTGTAATGCATCTTTTTTTTTTCCATTTTCTGTTAACATTGAATGAAGGGTAGCATGAGAGCTTTTAAGCTGCTTTATTAAGGTGCACATTTCTATGTAACATAAGGCAATTAATCAAGTAACCAAATACCCAAATGCAAAAACAAACAAACAAGAAAACAAAAAAAAAAATAAAAACAAAACTTTGGAGGTCCAACATGGCCTGTTTAATGGTATCAGTATGTTGTAATCGTTACAAACAGTGTATTATTTGCTAAAATTTGCATTATTTTTTGCTATTTTTCTTGCATTATTTTAGACTAAAATGTATAATCACTGCTGCCTACCACATCTATCTATTTATCTATCTGTGTCACAACCACCTTTTTACGGCACTGCCAAAAATCTTAAATATTTACAGTACCTAACGGTGACCCTAACACTGAACCTTGAGGCACTCCTTTTTTCCTTTTGTTTTCCAATTGTTTTACAATTGTTAAATGTATTAAATTGTATTATAGATCTAAAATGTCACAAAGTCAAAGGCCAAAGTTTCCACACTGATTTTAACTCCCCTGACATAACGACTATCTTGACATCTCTTGGTGTAGTACAATACTCAGGTTATGGAGATGGAAACCAACAAAGAGATTTTAAGGCTGTCCGTAGAAGACAAGGATACCCCCAACACTAAAGCATCTAAAGCTGTGTACAAGATCCTGAAGGGCAATGAGGAGGGCAACTACAAGATTGAGACAGACCCGAAAACGAACGAAGGAGTGTTAACAGTAATCAAGGTACACTTTATTCATACTTCACATAAAATTATGTTATTTCTTATAGAAGTCTTGACTCTTCAGTGACACTTCATTTAAATGCTACCTAAATAGGGGCTTCATAACACAGGCACAGAATAAAACATTTTAAATGTAATACTTGGGTGTTTATGAACAGTGTATGCCATAATAATTTTAATTTTCATGCATATTTTCCCAGTTTACTATAGTTTAAGGGCATAGGATTGGAAATGATGCATTCTAACAGTAAAATAAATGTCAGTCACTTTAATTGAAGTTAATACAATGCCATTTACTTTAAAATGCACCTTATGTCCAAATAGGTTAAATATTAAAGTATTGTTTATTAACCCTTTAAAGGGCTCACCAAAAGACCCAAAGTTTTATTACACACTTCTATAGTCTAAGAATTGCTCAGCCAGTTTGCACTGAAGTCCCTGTAGTTACTGAATAATAAGCCTTAGTATGTAATAAGCCTGAGATTTTAAGTGGTTAACCCTTAGACATGTCATATAGCTGCCTTGGCATTAAGGATAATATAGATTTTTTTAGATAGATTAGTTAATATACAGTTTTAAAAGCAGTAGCATGTCTTGGTTGATGAAAGGTGCTTAGAACTCATAGCATTTTACTAGTTTTTTGTGGAAATCAATGTCCATTCTTTACAGGGGAAGGATTATGAGAGGACAACTCTCACTAAACTGGAAATATCAGTGGAGAACGAGGAGCTGTTGTTTTTATGCATCGACGGAAAGCCAGCATCTCCTGCCATGCGCGCTGCGAGAAAACCCAACACTACTACAGTTGAAGTCAAAGTCATTGATGTGAACGACCCGCCAGTGTTTCAGCAGAAGATTCAGACAGTGTACAAGAAAGAGGAAGGGAACCCGGGAGAGGTGCTGTACGAACCCATTGTCAAAGATGTGGATTCAGACGTTGATAAAATCAGGTGCGTATGAAAAGTAGCTGAATTCACCTCTGGGTGTGGCTCTGTGGTTGTATCGTTTTTAGCCTCAGGCTGTCTAGCCACAAGAATCTTAAAGAGTTTAACATTATGAGTCATCAAGATTGTTTGTTCGTTTTTTGGTTTCAAGGTATGAATTAGCAGACGATCCAGCCAAGTGGGTAAAGGTGGACCCCAAAACAGGCAAGGTCACCACAGTGATGAAGATGGACCGTGAGTCTCCATACGTAGTCAATGGCACCTACACGGTTCTGATCCGAGCAATAGACAATGGTACAACAAGCACATTTCAGACATCCTTCATTCATTCTGTTGTAGTTATTTTGTATGTGTTATGTTGTGCAGGTATTTCATAAAGAATCCTTTCTGTGGTTCTTGCACTGAAGACCCATCTGTTAATTGGGGTGATTCCACACTAAACAAAATATTAAACACAGATAAGACTCTGAATGAGTTCTGCGAGGCCATCCAAAGTATATTTAAAAATGTAGTTTTACAAAAATGAGAGATCGCGAGTCTTTAGTTAGTTAGAATGATGTTTGTTGTATGCTAATGCAATTATCAAATCAAGGCCCTATTCTTGGGTGGAATATTTGCTACAAATCCATAAGCATTGTAAACATGCAATAATTGTAACTTCACATTTGTCTGCAGACTAATCAAGTAAAATAATGTATAAACTAGCCACAGGGGAATCAGACGCTTGCAGATATAAAATACAAAGGCTTTACTAGTAGAAGTGCAGTGCAAGTTCGTGGTCAAAAAACAGGCATGGGTCAATTCCAGAAAGCAGATGAGAAACAAAACAATAAACATAACACCAGGCAAACAGTCCAAACAGGAGAAGGCAAAAACGTGGTCAAAAACATAAGCGGAGGGTCTAAGTCCAAAATCCAAAATCAGGCAAACAATCCAAAGGGCTGGGCAAAAAGACAAAGTCAAAGAACAAAGGCAAAGGTCATACACGATAATCAGATACAGGAATAAACACTCAGTAGATCACGAAAACGGATGCAGTACTTCGCAAGTTACCTACTCTAAAGCCCAGGCTTAAATACTACACTATAGTAGTCATATGATCAAAACACAGGTGACATTCATTAGTATTCTGGAGATCGCGAACGCGGATAGGAGTTTGAGGTCAGGTGGGGAGTCATGTGACCTCCCGGAGAGTTCTGGGAGTTTGAGTCCAGCTGTCTATCGTCGTTGGTTGGCTGCGTGGAGGTCAGGTGATCTCCCAGAGGACTCTGGGAGATCGAGTCCGAATCCAATGAGGCACTCGGCGGATGCGTGACAGCCTGGCAGTTTGATGGATGAGTCTGGGTTTGGCGAATGCCAGGAGAATGTTACCTGCCTGACTGCAAAGTTTGGTGGAAGAGGGATAATGCAATGGGGTTGTTTTTCAGGGATTGTTCTAGGCCACTTAATGTTTTAACAGACCAAGACATTTTGGACAATTGTATGCTTCCTACTTTGTGGGAACAGTTTGGGGAAGGCCCTTTTCTGTTCCAGTATTACTGAGCCCCAGTGCACAAAGCAAGGTCCATAAAGACATGGCTGGGTAAGTTTGGTGTGGAAGATCTTGACTGGCCCTCACAGAGCTCTGACCTCAACCACATCGGGGACCAACTCCATATTAATGCCTATGGATTTAGATTGGGCTGACATAAAAGCTCCTGTATGTGTAATTTGTAGGTGTCCCAATACTTTTGTCCATACAGTGTATATCATATATATAGTCAGGGAGTGTATATATCATATGTTTCATATAAACAATCAATGTGTGTAAACTAGGAAAATGAAAATACATTTAAAAATATCACTTTAAGTATGTACTTGGGTGCTCAGTCCTCATATATTAAACTTCAAGTCAGTTACTTTCTCCGTCTTTGTTCTGTAGGGGAGCCTCCTGCCACAGGCACAGGAACTTTGGTGATCCAACTGGGAGATCTAAATGATAACGTACCCTACTTGACTACCAACAACTCGATCATGTGTGGGAATAAGACTGACCGGGTGACGGTGAAGCCTGATGACGCTGACGCACCTCCATTTGCAGGACCCTTTTCCTTCTCTGTTGCGAGTGAAGATAAGGAGCTGTTGAGCATGTGGAAGTTAAACCCAAGCACAGGTGATGTCAGCATTGTTTCAGTATTTTTACAAAAAGTCAGTGTTTTTCTCCCAACATTTTTGATCTTTAAAAGATTCATGAATGTGCTACAGAATGAGGCATTCTGTTCTCTGTCCTAATTTGAAAGCTTGCATAAACGCCTTCATTAGAAACGGTCAATCATCACAAGGCAAGAGCTTTGCTGATGAAAACTTCTCTTTTCTGATCATAGTCAAAATAAAAGTGTTTAAATTAGTCAGGAGGCATATGAGGATATGAAAACCCCTGCCTATTCATCTCACTATAATCTATAGTTTTTGTGGTGGGTTTACTTTTGTCTTTTCTGTTGAGAATTTATACATTAACTAGCTATGTTAGCTGCCTAAAACATGGCTCACATTTTTTTTCCCCATAAAATTACTTTACAGGTGTGTTACACAATAAAACACAGGAGAAATTTCTCCACCGTGTCTGCAAAGATGACCATGCTGACTCAAGAGAGGAGTTCAGAGCAACCTCAGTTTCAGAAGCAACAGTCCAACAGTCACGTCATCTAACTACTTTTAATATTAGACAGAGATAACCCAACAAATACAATATCATGCACTGATGGAAAATCCTGTTCAGCCCTACCTGGCCCTATGTGAAAAAGTAATTGCTCCTTAACTACGAAATCCAACAATTAACCAAATTAAACTGAATATGGGGTTCAGTTTCACTGCCACACCCAGACATAATTACTGCCAGACCTGCTGAATCTAAACATCACTTAAATAGATGGCAAAAAAAACTCTGGCAATGGAAAGCAGGTAAACGAGCTCAAAAAGCAGCACATGTGACCATGTTCTAAAAAGATTCACATACAGATGCTAAACAAAGTCATTGAAATCTTCCAGTCTGGAAAATGTTGTAAAGCCATTGCTGAGGCTCTGGGACTCCAGCAAACCTCAGTGAGAGCCATTATCCACAAATTGAGAAAACTTGGAACAGTGAGGAACCTTTCCAGGAGTGGCCGGCCTACAAAAATTTCACCCAGAGAACATCAACAACTCATCCAGGAGGTCACAAAAGAACGCAGATGAACATCTAAAGAACTGCAGGCCTCACTTGTCTCAATTAAGGTCAGTGTACATGATTCCACAATAAGAAAGACACTGGGCAAAAATGGCATCCACAGGAGAGCTGCAAGGTGCAAACCACTGCTGACCACAAAGAACACAAAGACTCATCTCACATTTGCCAAAAAACATCTACATGACTCCCAAGACTTTTGGGATAATATTCTGTGGACTGATGAGTTAAAGGTGGAACCTTTTGGAAGACATGGGTCCTGTTACATCTGGCGTAAAGCTAACAGTGCATTCCACCATAAGAACATCATACCAACAGTGAAACATGGTGGTGGTAGTGTGACGGTCTGGGGCTGCTTTGCATCTGCAGGACCTGGACAACTTGGCATAACTGATGGAGCCATGAATTCTGCTCTCTGTCAAAAATTCACCTTTGTACGTTTTCATAACCTATTGTTTAAACATAACAGAAGGACCTTGAATGGCTGGATCAGATTCTTTAGTGTTAGGCAGGGTGGGTGGGAGCAGGGGGGTCAGCATGTTAGATGAACATAGGAATTAAGCTTTGCAGGACAGCAGATCTCCAATAGCATGGTTGATGACCACTGTTACGGTGCTTAGTAGATCTAAAAGGTGTGCTGTGTTTCTACTGCAGGGTCTGAATCTTCATTGATAAGTCTGAAGAGTTTGCCATACGGGAACTACTCGGTTCCACTGCGGATCGAGGACCAGCAGGGGAAAGTAGGACTGGACACTCTGAATGTGGTGGTGTGTGACTGTGGGGGTAAAGATGTGTGTCGATCGCTCCTGCCTCGTTCTTCCAACCTGCATGGAGCAGCTATAGGAATCTTACTGGGATCGATGCTGTTATTGGCTTGTAAGTGTCTTCTGGAAAGGAGTCAGAATAGAAAATATAGCTTTCTCATTTATACCAGCTGCAGTATTTCGCATGCCAACTAGGCCTCTTCTTTGTATCTGCTGGCAGGAAATCAAATCACTCTCTTTAAAATGCCTTTGTCTTCTGCAGCTTCTCAAACTGTGACTCCTAACTTTACTTATATTGGCAAGTTACCAGCAGAGGTGTTTTCCCGGCCTGATCACAATAAAAAACGAAAACAAAGAGCAATGCAGCCACATTCCACACCAGTGAGAGTGCAACAGATCCAACACATCATTTTCTGAAATGTAACAATCTGTTGTCAATCTTTTTCAGTGCTGCTCTGCTGTTGTTTTCTTTGTGAGTACAAAGCGAAGGAATTTATACTAAACATCCAAGACGAAGGGAACCAAACCCTCATCAAATACAATGAAGAAGGAGGGGGCTCACTCGCCAAGGTCTGTTTGTCAAGTCAAGTCACCTTAATTTCTTTAAAAGACGACAAGTGCTGCACGATAATATCAATTAAAATAACAAAGACAGAACAGATACTGAGTGCATAATCATTAAAAAGAATCAAAAGCCTTGACTTAAAAACCTTTATTGCGGGGTACTCCTACTGTTCCAGACCCTTAGGGCAGCTACAGAAAAGGCCCAGTCACCTTTGAATCTTATCCAAGAGCATGGAGTGGCTAAGAGCAACTGGTTAGAAGATCGTAAGACTGGTGAGGTGGAATGGAAGCAGAGGAGGTCAGAGATATAGCTCTGAGCCAAACCATACAACCCTTTAAAAAAGAATAATAAAACTTAAACTTCAGTATTTATTTTACTGGTAACCAGTGCATGACGCAAGCACGTCCCTTTTCTTGGTACCAGTCAGGAGCCTCGCGGATGCATTTTGGACCAGCAACAGACTTGACAAACTTCACTTGTTTGGATTGATTGGCATATTAAACCATGTGAAATATCATATATGTGAACTGACCTATTTATGCACTTCCCACAAAAGCTAAAATTGATTGTTAGTTTATCCAGAAATTAAATTCACAGTCTAGTTTTTTCAGTATAAACACATATCATTTCTATATTAAATTGTGTTTATGCTTTCAACTTAGATGATAACCTTTTTTTTAAAAAAAAGTTATAGATGGTTCTTCAAGTGTTCTTTAGTAAAGAAAATGGTTCTAAATAGACTCAAAGAACCCATTGCACGATGAAAGGTTCTTTGCATCGTGAATGGGTTCTTCAGATTGATGGAGAATGTGTTTTGAAAAGGATTCCATATAGCACCCAAAAGGGTTCTTCTATTTTTACAGGCTTGACAACCTTCAAAAAGGTTCTATATAGAACCATCTACAGCATAGTCTCCATTAATCTGCAAAGAACTGTTGAACCATGCAGTGTTATTTGAGTGTTCATGTTTCTATATAGACCATCTTTTTACTTAAGAACCCTTAAAGAACCATCTTTTTAGAGAGTGTTTTATGTCTTACCCTTCCCTACCATGTCATGTTCACCCTACCCTACTTTTTATGTATCCTAATTCCTACCCCACCTTATGCTACTCTACCCTACCATACATCACCCTACTATACATACCCCACCCTGCCATTTCCTATCTTACACCCTTAAAAAAGTGGTTCTTCCAGGGTTCTTTAGTAAAGAAAAAAGGTCTATACAGAACAATGAACACTCAAAGAACCATTACATAGTGAAAGTGTTCTTCAGATCGATGGGGAATGTGTTATATATGGTTCTGTTATTATAATGTCAAGCTTGTAACAATAAAAGAACCCGTTTTGGCACTGGATAGGGAATGTGTTATATATGGTTCTGTTATTATAATGTCAAGCTTGTAACAATAAAAGAACCCGTTTTGGTGCTGGATACACCAAAAGTTCTATATGAAAGAACTATTTCAGGCTTAAATGATTTTTTGCATGGTGAAATTATCCTTCAGATTATATGTGGTTCTATATAGCACCAAAAAGTGTTCTTCCATTGTTACAAGCCTGACATTGCATCAATAGCAGAACCCTTTTTGTTGTTTTATAGAACCATATACAACACATTCTCAATCAATCTGACCAACCATTTTACCATGCAAAGAACCATTTAAGCCTATATAAGCCTTTGTCTTTACAAAGAACCCTTTGACAGAGAATTTGTTACCCTTTTTGGTGCTATATAGAACCGTTTTATGTATAGAAACATTTTATGCATGCAAAGTGGTTGTTCTCTTCACTAACGAATCTTTTAAGAACCTTCTTTTTTAAGAGTGTACCTCACCCTATCTTACTGTATTTTGTAATACCCTACCCTCTTAGTCTACCCTATGATTACTGCACCCTGTCCTGTCTATCTCAACAGTTTTACTATAGCCCACCCTTCCATTTCTAGCCTCTTCTCTAACCTCTTATTGTAACCTTTTATCTTCTCTCTCTTCTCAGGCTGAAACACTAGTAGGCCAGTCCTCCACTGTTGGCCTGAAGTCAGGACCTATACAGGTGTGTAATGTGTATTTATGTTCTTTTCCTTGATATACTTGACTGATACATGACTGATACGGTCTAGATCAAAGAAAATCCTATTCAGTCAGATTAGTGATTACCGTTGAGGAACTTGGCAGGGGATTTGTGCTTGTTAGAACACTTCTCCCCTTCGGCAAGAAACACACACTGCTTCTGTGGTTTGGATTCCTAAAGTAGGTTCTCACGATACTGTTTGCAGCAACTGTATTTGTTTAAGTTTGCTGGTATGTGATGTTCAGAAATATGTGCTGGAACTACATTATCCAGATATTACTCACACAGTCAACCTCAAAATTGTAGTAGACATTGAATTTCTGGTGACACTTTATTTTGAGTGGCCCTTTTTAGATGAAATAAACACTCAACAGACTCTCAGTAACATCAACAACATAACAGTGACATGGCAGCAGTGAGTACATTCAGGTTTTGGGTTGAGGTTAAGATTAGGGTTAGGATTAGGGCCAGGGTGAGGGTTAGGATTAGGTTTTGGGTTGAGGTTAAGGCTAGGGTTAAGATTAGGGGCAGGGTGAGGGTTAAGATTAGGTTTTGGGATGAGGTTAGGGTTAGGGTTAGAATTATTTTAGAACAAAAAAATCTTAGCTGGAAAGTTACCTTTTTGAAGATACAAGGTTTTGTTCTGATGGCAGAGATAAGTTTCTTTGCAACCAAATGGTTTGCATTTCATTACAGATTGTAATTTCAAACTTTTTAACAGTAGAGTATACATTTATGACTGTTATGACATCAGAACAGTAGAGTTACAAGGAAGTTTACATGGAGTTTTCTAACATGCCCAACACTCATTAACTGACAGTTGTTCTGTCTGCATAGCTCACGGAGTTCTCCAATGGATACGGAGGGATTAACAGCTCAACAAAAAGGAGAACAGTAAGTTTCATCTTGCAACAAAGTAAACCCTAATGCCACGTTCACATGGGTGCGGTAGACGGACAACAGCAAACTGGATTTTTTACTGTTTTTAATTTCGCTCACCACTGCAATGAGTTCAAATTTCCCAGGTTTTGCAATTGACCACAGTGCTGGAAGGGAATGTTGATTTTTTTGGAAATCGTGAACGTCAAACATCTTGTTATTGAATTCCAGATGAACCTAGTATTGTACAACAAAAATAAAAGAGTGTAGTGCATCCTCCTGCCTTTCTCCACCTTAACTATTCCCTCTACACTGCTAAAGCTCTCCTCTAATAATCATCCATTTTCTTCCATTTGCAGATATGTGAATGTGGCATAAATGTTTGCGTAAGTTAATAATATGGGCCTTAATGAGATTATGCATGATATTAGATTTGACTTATTCACCTTTTTGCATTCATTCGCACTTCATTTGTGATGTGTGTTTTATTACTTTATTTTTTAAAAATGCACTTAATTTATTCTCCAATGTTTGCCCTTGTGCTTATGTATTTCATTAGGCTAGGCAGTCTTATGGCTTATAGATTTTTGCAGTATCTCAGTACTTTGCATCACATTGGCTATTACTGTTTGCGTGTTTTGTAAGTCATTCTGGATGACGGCGTCTGCTAATTGTAAATGTAAATTTGGTCTTGACCTTTTGACCCACAAAAGTATGATATGTCCTGGATATTTTGACCTTCTAGATGTCTTCAGGGGGCTTTCAGCAGATGGCTGAGGCTGGCGGAACCTTGATGAGTCAGGTAAGTCTCTAGTGGCTGTCTGTACCTGAACAATCCGTATGCATTTCTGTGAGTGGATTTGATCAGGCTGATGGGATATGTATGACTGCAAACAGTTGTTCTCTCTGCATAGCGTAACTGAGCCTTTCAGAGTGATATAGATACTAGATTAAACTCATTAAACGGTTAAGGGTCATTATACACATCTATCATCTAAGAAAGGCTCAGCCAGTTTGCATTAAAGTCCCTCTAGTTACTGAAAAATAAGCCTCAGTGTGTAATAAGCCTGGCCTTACACTTGCTAAGATATGGTTTTAACATACAGGTGGTGACAGTTCTGTAACAAAAACAATCCACAGAAACAAACGCATCAGCACGTGACTTCTAAATGTTACAAAGACGACTCTTAAATGAGGTTTAAAGATGTGGTGTCTGAACTTTACAACCATTTTGTTAACCCCTTAAAATCTCAGGCTTATTACATACTAAGACTTAATTATTCAGTAACTACAGGCACTTAAATGCAAACTGGTTGAGCTATTCCTAGGCTATAGAAGTGAGTAATAAACTTTGGCAGGCCCTGGCCTTTTAAGGGGTTAAAAAATGTTGCAAACTTTAGACATCACATCTTTAAACATCATTTAAGAGTCATCTTTGAAACATTTAAAAGTCATGTGCTGATGCCTTTGTTTCCTGTGGGTTTGCTCAGAAAACACTTTCATCGATATGTATGCAAGCTCGGAAAACACTTTCATCGAAATGTAGAAACATTTCAGAAACGTGCTGCAAATACAGAAAACACATGCAACTTCTGAAAAGCCAGTCACAGCACAACACAACGGATATGTTTCTGGAGAACACTCAAAGAGGACGGAGACATTGAGACATTTAAATTTGATGTAGCACAAACATTCACCGGTAAAAGTAAGCTAATTTAATCTTGTGAAAGTGTCTTATTCCATTAGCAGCTCATTTGACTCATTTTACGTATTATTTCTTGAAGCAAGCAAGATTAATATCAATACTCCATGTGCAATATTCCTATGTGCAGTGCATGTAAATAATTCTTCTTATAACAAGTAAAAATGTACAGAAACAGGTGGAATACACTTACAATTATCTCATAATGAGAACATTATATATATATATATATATATATATATATATATATATATATATATATATATATACTACATTTGAGATGTTTTCACTTGCGAAGAGATGTATTGCAGTGTGATAGGTTCTTTTGTAAGTCAGTGAAACGGCCCTTCCTCTCAAAGCAGGCAGTTCTTGGGCACATAAAGGGACAAAATGCACCAGATTCCCTGACGATAGACAGAAGTCTGACTTGCGAAACTAAGCAATCAGTAACAAAGCAAAGCTTTCTAAAACTCTCGCTAAGATAAACCTTCTTTGTTTGCATGACAGTGTGTTCAGGTTAGATTCAGCTTTCAAATTTAGCTCTAGCAGTTGGGCCAGACCATGTCAGGTCAGGTCGGGCCAGGCTCGACCAGGTTGTGATAGGTCTGGTCAGTAGCATGAATCATCATTTAACAGAAGTAAACAAGAATCTAAGTCACTGAGGCAGTGCCCTTCTTGTCACTGGGGTGGAACCCTCAAGGATACATCTCAGTACCTTTAGTCAGGGAACATAATTGTAACATAATCCACTGATATTATATTTTCTAAGATGTACTGACTCCACACACCCTGTCTCCAGGCTTTTTATTCTATTGTTCTGTTTTAAAACATTAGGTTACGAAAAGGTACAAATATGTACTTTTCAACTGGAAAAACTTATGTGCACAAATGGACCACAAAACCACTGTTGTGCCTTTGAAGGAACATTTACATTGTTACATTTACAAAAAATTATGAAGAAATGTACCCTTAGAGTTATTCTTACGTATCTTACAACTAGGATCTGACTCACGATTCATTAAATGCCATTTAAATGGTGTACAGTACACATGAATAAGCTTGAGGTGAATGACTACATGTGCTAGTTTGCCATTCAGATCATCAGCTAATTGAAACACATATTCATGTCAGATCTGGAAATCTCCTGTGGAAATAGGTCAAGCTGTGCTTGTGAAATTTTAGCATGTACAGATTTTGTGTGGCCCTTAATAAATATATCTGTCATATGAAACCTAAAGCAGATGGGAGGACCTCATGTAGAAGAATGTAATGTATACCTAAAGCGCTCTTTACGTATGTGCATGTTCATACAAGTTCAGCTTCATATGACAGTGCTAAACTTTGCTCCCCTCTAAATTAGACAAAAGGTTTATTCAGCCTTAATTAGTTTATGGTTAATGTTCTGATTTCCATTGTCTGAAATGCTACTAATAAATTTAGTTAATAAACATGTCACTTTGTTTACTTGTCTGCAAAATAGGACTTAAAGGCAAAAGAGCATTAAAAAGTGATTATGGGCTTGCACACTTTAGTGCTACACTCTCAGAAATAAAGGTACTAAACTGTCACTGGGACAGTACCCCTCTTGTCACTGGGGTGAAACCTTTAAGGGTACATCTCAGTACCCTTAGTTAGGGAACATAACTGTACCATAATCCATTAAAATGATATTTTCTATGTTGTATTGTCCCCACACACCCAGTCTCGTCTCCAGGCTTTTCATTTTATTGTTCTGTATTAAAACATTAGGTTATTAAAAGGTTCACCACTGGTGTACCTTTGGGGGCACATTTACATGTACCTTGATGAATCAAAAATATACCTGCACAAAATCTTTATTTCTAACAGTGTACGGAAATTGTGAGATTATTTCAGCCCTTGTTTGTGTTCTGTTTTGCTGCCTGTGGTCTATGTGCTGTTATGCCCGAGTGAGTTGAGCTAGATGTCTGGCTATGGTTTTAGCTTCAAAACGGTTGTGGTGAAAAGTACACATCTTCCAGCATGTTCTTCATCTAATACGACTTTGCTAAGCTGGTCTTCCAGAAAATTCAGGGAATAAAGGAACAAAAGCTGTTTTGATAGAGAATAAAAATTGCCACCATGAAGCCGTGACTGCCTTCTGTCCTGACATGACCTGTTTATGTGTCAGAGCCTTTGGTTTGTGCAAAAACTTACAAACTGGCAGTTGGGGAGTCTAATTGTTCAACTTTATCTCACAGGGATTAGTAGGAAGTTCACATGAAAGGCTATGAATTGCCCCTTCATGTAAACACATGACTGAATCTGCATTTGGATGGAGTCATAGAGAAATGAGAAAAAATAAAGTAGAGAGAAAAATAACAGCTGTTTTTTCTGTCCTAATAGAACTGGGGTACGAGCAGGAGCTTCACCTTCAGGGTAAGTTGTCTTCTGTCATAAGCCCACTTAGAACTTTTATTGGTCTCTATTATTTTTACTTCCCTCAGGGGTGTCCAAACTTTCTTAAAAGAGGGCCAGACAGAGCCCTGCCATGTCAGAATACCTGAGGGCCGAAATATTATTCACAAACAATTCAAAATATTAAGTTTTCTAAGCTTTCTGTGAGCAATTGTGTTTCCTATCACTGTATAAAAGATGCACAAGTCTTCTTATATTGTTGGATTGCTTGTTGATAAGCTCTTATATCAAATAATTAAATTGTTTAAGGGTAAAAATAAAACATATCTAATGTATTAATAATATTCCTTTTCAAGTGTTTATTTGTTCAAAAATATATAGATTTTTCTTTTCTGGCCTTAAACACAATCCTGAACTGCTGAATTAGCTCTGATGAAAAGGTAGTGGTTTCTATCTAGAACCACGAACACTAAAAAATCCATTTGCTTGCTTAAATGGCATTGGCATGGTGGAAACATTTTTCAGATTGATTGAGAATGTTTTGTAGATGATTTTTCATAGAGCCATTTTGAAAATGGTTCTATTTAATACAAAAAAGGTTCTGCTGTTGTGATATTGTCAAGCTTTTAACAATAAAAGAACCCTTTTTGGTACCATACAGAAACATTTTCAAAAAGATTCTATAGAGAACCATATATGACATATTCTCCATCAATCTGAAGAACAATTTCACTATGCAAAGAACCACTTAAGTATAAAATGGTTCTATACTCTTAAAGATTATGATTCTTTAAGAGTTCTTCAGTAAAAACATAAGTTCTATGTAAAACAATAAACACTCACAAAACATTTGCATGCTTATATGGCTCTTTGCATGGTGGAATAGTTGTTCAGATTGATGAAGAATGTGTTGTAGATGGTTCTATATAGAACCCTTTTGAGAAATGGTTCTGTATAGTACCAAAAAGGGTTCTGCTATTGTGACAATGTCAAGTTGGTAGCAACAGAACACCTGCTTTATAGAACCTTTATAGAATCTTCAAAAAGGTTCTAAATAGAACCATATACAACACATTCTCAAATAATCTGAAGGGTTCTTTTGTTGTTCACGGTTCTATATAGTGTATTTACTAATGAACTCTTGAAGAATCATTATTTTTAAGAGTGTACTCTGTTCTAACATCAAGTTGTTCCCAAAATACTGTAAACTGTGAATAAAGTGTTGGTTTAAGTTTTGGTGTTGAATTTAAAGCATTTCAATCTAAACTGGATGAGTTATTACTGAATAACAATTATTATTATGACAAGTGACCCCAAACTTTTAAGCAATAGTGTATATTCATACTCTGGTTCATCCAGTTCCATGTTCTGAAGATGATGTTTGTGTTTCTAGAATGGGTCTCACAGATTCTCCAGATCCTTCAGCCTGATGTCAGACTGGAACATAGAAGACCATCTTCTAAGGGTGAGACAGCTTTGTTCCTTTTTTCTTTTTCTCTTTCTCTTCTTTCTTTTTCTTCTCTTTCCACTTCTATGTTCTTATGCTTCTGCAACCCAAAACCAAAATCAGGGGCCAGATTCCTGAAAGTGTCTTAAGAAAGAAAATCTTAAGAAAAAAGTTATGAGAAATTGTTGTTCTTCAAAAAACCTCTTAAGAGTTATCTTATTTTCTTTTCTTAACTATTCTCTGAAGAATAATTCTAAGAAGAAGTGCTATTCTTGAAAATATTATCTTCTTAAGTGTGTTCTTAACCTGACAGCCTTAGACATGTCTCAGGCTGTAAGAGTTGACGAGGTCAGCATGTAAATTTATCCGTTTTTTTACCCCTGCTTATCCTCGTCTCTTGCTTTCTGCCGTCACCCCACAATTATTGTATTTTCCAAGGAGGATTTTTTTCCTGTTGGCTGTTTCTTCTACCGACTCCTGTCGTTCTTGTTTGCTAAAATTTTTAAACACTTGGTTTGAGGTTTTCCCTCATTTTGCTCTTCTGAGCAGATGAACCTAATAATGGAAATAACAGTTAATACAAATTCAAAATATATCTTGCACCATTTATGGTACATAGTAAAATGCAATGTAGCCCACGAAAGAAAACAATGATGATTTTCTTAACAAAAGTCTTAAGAAAATAATTAAGATTATCTTAAGAAAATGTTTGAGAACATCTTAATTTTTTTTTGAGAATTGCATTTAAGAACATTGGTCCTCATTCACCAATGTCTTTCAAAGTTTGTCCTTAAATGTGTTCTGTCATGTGCAGCTGTGTGGAAAAAGGCAAGTTTATGTAGCACCTTTTATCCACTGCTGTCATTCAAAGTGCTTTACAAATGAGAAAATTTGAAGATAATTCATATTAAAAAGATGAATTAAAATATGATTACGTTTTCAGGGTGATTTTAAAGTGTCCAGTGTCGGGGCTCTTCTAATGCTCTCTGTCAACTGGGTCCATTTAAGAGCAGCATAGTAGCTAAACGCTGCTTCTCCATGTTTAGTCTTCACCTTCTGCAGGACTAACTGACTAGTTCCTAATGATCTGAGAGTTCTGCTCGGCTCATTTTGCTGCAGCAGATCAGATAAATACGCTGCTCCTGCACCATTAAGACATTTATAGAGCAGTAACAGCACCTTAAAGTCTATTTTGGAACAGACTAGTGTCCAGTGTAAGGATTTAAGAATGGGGGGGTGTGCTCCTTCTTTTAATCGTAGTGAGATTCTGGCAGCTGCATTCTGAATCAGCTGAAGCAGTTTAAGGATCAGTAAAGCTTAAAAAGTTCATGTGAAAGTTGGCAAAAAAGATCAGACATCCTGTGTGCTCACAAGCACTCATATCAAAACATGATGACAGATTTCACGCCCTCATGTTTTGATTTGACATCAGACAGTCCAATCAGAGGCCTGTGATTGTGCCACTGTTGTATAAATGAGAAGAATAACTGTCTAACACCATCTACTGGACAGACAGTGAAAAAACAACAGAGGCCCAAAACAAAACAGAAAATCCAGCACAACATTATAGTGTGTGAACATGCTGTTTATACAAATCTGACAGTAATATGTACAATAATAACAATAGGATAAAATGTTAATAATAATTCCTGAAATCTGAGAATCTCAGCATGCTTTCAAAATGATTACTGCACCCCACCAACATCAGACCGGTAGTTTACAGTGTCTACTGAATTGCTTTAGGGTCGGTCGGTCGGTCTAGTCTATCTATCTATCTATCTATCTATCTATCTATCTAGGGAATATGTTGAAATGCATGAAACTAAAATGATGGCCTCATCACATCATTCACTTAAGTAAAATATGTCACAAATGTTCTGAATAAAACAATAAACACAGTTTTCTGTGCTTTGCAATTATAGATATTTATGCATAATAGTTATACTTCATTTCTTCTCAGCATCAGTGTATGAAGGCCTTTGTGCTAATTCTCTCTTTTCTTTGTGCTTCATCCCTACAGAAGCTGTATGAACTTCCTGAAGACCAGCTTGACTTCCCTGAGTGCCACCCTCATGAATACAGCTACGAGGGAATGGGCAGCAAGTGTCCATCTCTAGACAAGCTCTCCTTTAGCGCTGATGGAGATGATCTGGACTTTCTCAACAACCTAGGCCCAAAATTTCATACTTTGGATGCGATTTGTCAGAAGGCAATGGAGGAGAAGAACATAAAGTTGTAAGACAGGACACAGACAATGGATTATTTCTTTTTTACTTTTTTTGATTTTTTTAAATGGATCATGGACATTTTATGGGTTTATGGAAACAGTGGGTGATCGTTTTAATATAACACTGGTGGATAATATCTCTCACGGGCATCAACTAATGAGAAAACTTGTCTTCAGCCCTGATTGGGCCACAGCTGCAAAACCTTCCTTTTATATCACTTCTGAAAGGAAATGCCTGCAAAAACATCAGAGCTCCAGCATCTGGACATCAAATCCAGGCTTTGCTGTGGGCTGGTTATAAAGCAGTGGACCTGCTGGTTATATTTGGTGGTGGATATTATCAGATGGAGATAAAATGGTTATGGTATAGCTGGACTACAGCTCTGGAATGTTGATACATCTCTGGAATGTTTTTGGTTTTAGGCTTTAAGCCATATACAGTAATCTTGGGTAAGTACTCTGAAGACTACTCATCACTCTACATCAGGTAAAGTGCTGGGCTATACTGACAGAATTAAACATCACAATATTTCCCAAATATCAGTTTTGTGATTTTTGATATGTAAATTAGCACAGATAAAGTAAACGAACCCATGCTTTGATAAAGTTAATATGTTAGCATCATTAAAGCGAATTAGTCCATGTTTTAATAAAGTTAATGATCCCATGCGTTAATCACATTAACGATTAATAAAAAATTTAATTCATAAAATTTGTGAACCCTTGTATTAATGACATTAATGATAGCATTAATATAAAGTTAACTTGTCTTCGTGAATTTGCCTGTTTTATGACAAAATTCATATTTTGGCTACCTGACAGCCTTATAATTGAGAAAATCAGTGAAATTCAGTGGAAAAATGAAATGTACATATAGCAAAATGTATCAAGTTTGGAACTATTTTGTTATCCAGCCGCCGATTTTTAAATCCAGCATTAATGACCACAATCTTAAAAAAGATGTTTCTTTACAATTTCTTTCATAAAGGGAATGTTTCTGTTTAGAACTATGAGTTATGTGTAAAAAAACATTCTTTTCATGATGAAATAGTTCTTCAGACTGATGGAGGATGTGTTGTATATGTTTCTGTATAGAATTTTTTCAAAATAGTTCTATATAGCACCAAAAAGTGTTCTTGTATTGCAGAGGCCAGCAACCCAAAAGTTAAGAAGAGCCATTTTGTCCTTTCAACAAAAATCAAACCACCCTGAGAGCCACAGCAGTTTATGTCCATTTTATTTAAGTAGCATTTTACCATCTTGGCTGAAAATGTGTCTCAGTATGTGCCAATGTACTAGTATAGGATAAAAAATATAAAAGAAAACACAGGCTTACTTTGCTCTGCTTTAAGCTTTAGCTCAGATATAGCCGCTTTTTTCACACCTCTGGCAGTTTCTTCTCAACATTTGCACCATTTAAGGTGGAACGGAAAAATTCAAACAAGAAGTTGGCGAACGAGAAGCGACTTCAGCCTTGTGTTTTTTTTAGTTTTTGATAGTTTCTCGTTGCAGATTAAACGTATCAGGAAACCAGCTGGAGTGATTATACATGCAAATAAGTCCAGTCGTCTCCAAATGATCGATGTTCGCCTTATATCTTTCTTCTTGCCTTCTCATTAGCTACTAGGTAGGTGAGACTGTTGTCTGTGTTGCTTTGGTGACCAGCAGTCTATGTGCCAATCATCAGAGTTAAAGGGTGAATTAGCTGTTGTACAATAACTCCAGCATTTCAGACCATTTATTGTTAAAACTGTGTTAGCAAAAAAGAGGATTATTTTATACCTAAAAATCTAATTTTGCTGTGAAGCCGCAACAGCAGAGTAAAAGAGCCGCATATTGCTGATCCCTGTCTACTGGGACAATGTCAAGCTTGTAACAATTAAACATACAACCATACAACACAATCTGAAGAACTATTTCACCATGCAAATTGTTCTATACAGTACTCATGATTCTAAATAGAACTATTCTCTTTAAGAGAACTCTTAAAGAACCATCTTTTTAAAGAGTGTATGAAGACAGCTCTACAGAAGTATCAGATATGGAGCTTCTTTTGGGGTTTACAGCTCGCTTCCTTCGCCTTTAAAATCCACTGAAAATATCCGCTGAACTAGAAGGGTCTGTTTGTGGGTACACACTTCAACTCTTCACTTTTATAAGTACAGAACTTCTTATTTTCATAGTAAATACAGAATAATTGAGGTTAGTTGCTGAATAATAAGCCATATTACTAATGAACCTGCAGTTTAAGGAAATCAGGTGATAAAATCTTTGTTTTGTTGTGCTGTTGTTTTATCAGACACACTGATCTTTGCATCGTTGCATAATGGCTAAAAGGCTCATGGAAGCATCATTGAAGCACCTGTTGGGATTTACTGCACCTTGGAAACTAGTTTTGTAATAGGCTTAGTTTTTAATAACAGAGGCTTTTAAACATCAACGCTAGAGGTCGACATCCATTGTAATATATAAACAGTCTGTTAGTTTGACTGCCTAACAGCTGTACTTGCAATGAAATGAAGCATAGTATCAAAAGTAAATGCTCGGCTGCATTTACATTATGTCTACATGCACTACTGTAGATATTAAATGAATTCTTAAACTTTTACATGTTTTTTCATGATACTTCTGATTTACTTGCAATCAATTTAGGTTTCATCGTTGTAAGACATATTCTAATGCCATACATATTTTTATATTGTTGTAAAGGGACTAATACTATAAAGGGGCCAAAGTTGTGCCTTAAAGCAGAGATGTTTATAGAACTTGAGGGTTTGTCATTGTTTTAGCACAATTTCACTGTTATTAGCCTTTTCCATTGAGTTGTTGTCTGAATGTAGTATTCAGGTTGACTGGTAGGTGGCAGTATTGTACGCACTGTGTGAATGAGTCATTGTTTTAGTTTATTGTTCAACAGCTCAACTCCTTACATACATATAACATAATTACATTACATTATTACAGCTCAATAACAATGAAATACAGCTTTATTAATGGATTAAGGGTTTATTAAGGGTTTATTACAGAACCTATAGCTTTCAACGTAAGAAGAATGACTTATGATTTATGTCCATTAGCCTGTTGGATTGTTAGTTGGATTATTATTGTCTCAGTCAGCATGATGAGATGACTGAACACATTATTGAGTTATTTTGTGGTGAAAAAATCAATACAGTGTTATTTAAGGTGTCTTGATGTACAGTATTTCACCTTAGAACGCTAAAATTAGGGCTTACAGAAATGTTCATCCTAAAAATGTGTAATATGCATCATTTCTGGTCTGTAGTTTCAGAGACATAAGAATATAAACAGATTCACTCAGTTGTTTAGCAATTAGCTAAAATGATGAGCAGCTGTTTATGCTGTATTTGAAGAGATATGGCCTTTTTTTTCATATCTCTTTCTCTTCTGAAAATATAAGCTTAAGAACAAAGGTTGTCAAAGGTTCTTGGCTTGGACAAGGGACAAGAACCTCATTTTTAAATGGCTTATTTACAGATGTGGTTCTTTAAAGGGCCATCAACTAACTGAAAGACTTTTTGTGGAACCAAATGTGGTTCAGCTACCCTGTGAGTGTGGGGGGTAGTGTAACATTTGTGGTGGGCTGAGGTCTACAAAGACAAAACAGTACACAAATAAAGAAAGCGTTTTTCAAATCCAGCTGTATTGTATTGTCTAAGATTACACTATGTTTCTACAAATGTTTCAAAAATATACATTTAATATAAAATTAAGGATAGAATAAGTTACAGTATAAACATTATTGAATGATGTTTGTTCTGTCATTGGGTGAAAAGGTGGGCAGACCAAATCAAATGTCCTTTTGCCGCACTTGGGACAGGGAAGCCCAGTCCAGTGTAATTTTGGTAGACTGTCTTGGAAGTCACCACCATTTCACTCAAAAGGAGTGTGTACCTCACCTGTACCTGGTTAATACCTAGAACCTAAAGGGCAGTAAAAGAAAACGTTACAGAAAATGAATATTTTGCAAGTGTTCTCATCAAATAAAAAAAATTAGAGCGTATCAAATTTGGTCTGTGTCTTGAGTGAGGGTGGGGGTGAGGGTGGGAGGTAGTGTGATGTCTGTAGTGGGCTGAGGTCTAAAAAAGACAAAACAATATACAAGTAAAGAATTTAGGCTTGAAATGGAGTTGTTAAAATTGTATTGTTTAACATTACACTATGCTTTGCTTTTAACATGCTTTAAAAACAAATTTAATAGAAAAATGAAAAATAATATAAAATTATGTTTGTTCTCTCACTGGGTATAGAGGTGGGGAGACCAATTCAAATGTCCTGTGGGCCGCACTTTGGGAAGCCCTCTCCATCGCAATTTTAGTAGACTATCTTGGAAGTCACCATTATTTTACTCAAAATAGTTATCTAGTACTTTAGAGTTTGTACCTCACACTTACCTGGTTAATACCTAGAACCTAGAGGGCAGTAAAAGAGAGCATTAGAGAAAACTGTAACATTTTAAAAGTGTTCTCATCAAATATAATAATAATAATAATAATAATAATAATAATAATAATATTTTTAAGAACATACCAAATTTGCTTCAGCTGTGTCTTGAAGAGGGGGGGGCGCTTAGAGGTAGTGCAGTGTTTGGGCTGTATTAACACTGAGATAAACTGTAATAACACTTTATTTTCCTGATTATTCTGAGGACATTTGCAAAGAAACTATTCACATTACTGTATCCATATTGGCATATGTAAGAGAACTTCTTTGCATGACATCAAGAAAAAATAAAAAAAATATATTTCAGCCAACAGATAGCTGACGGTTTCTGTGCCACATTAAATGTGATCAGTAGGGGGCAGCACTTCTCTGTATTGCTGAAAAAAGCCTTAGCCAATGCGGTTCACTATTTATCTTCTAACGCACTGCTAGAAAACTGGAGAACCCTGTCTTTTTACAATGTATCAAGATCTAGATATTAATCAAGGAAGCTTACAGTAAAAAGTTCCTAGACCTAGAACTAAATCACAATGACAAACAATGGACAAATAAAGAAAGTGGGTTTCAAATCGAGCTGTTAAATTGTATTGTCTAATTTACATTATGTTTTATTTATATACCTGGTTAATACCTAGAACCTAGAGGGCAAAAAAAGTGTTACAGAAAACTGTAATGTTTGAAGTGTTCTCACTTTAATTGGTTGACAAAAAAAGACTGAATACTCCAGTTAGGCAATATACAGCTTGACCAGTGAGGGAGTGTTTTGAAGAAATTCAGGAGATGACCTGTCTAGCACCATTTAACCCCATTGAGAACGTTAGCCAATGCAGTTCACTATTTATCTGCTAATGCACTGCTAGAAAACTGGAGAACCCTGTCTTTTATAGTGCCTCAAGCTCTAGATATTAATCAGGGAAGCCTAGAGTGGAAAGTTCCTAGACCTACAGTGTTAAAAATGTTATACAGTATGTAAAGTGAATGTATGTAAATTGAATGCAAATACAGTAAAACCACAGTAGAAATCATTGTTTTCTTTTAGAGCACAGTTTTATTTCCAGGTAATAAACAGGGATTACGTTAAACTCTTACTCTGTATAACTGCTGTCTACTGCAAGCTGAAATCATTCATTTTGCTCTCCTGCATAAATGACATTACACTGAAATGTAGTGTGTGTTTGCACTGACCACCTCATTACTCCAAATAATTATTCAATTATGATTTTTAATTATGTTCTTTATCAGACTATT